TTGTTATACCTTATAATATCAAATTTACTCTTCTTTCAAATAAAAAAATACAGGAAAAGGATCTCAATGCTTGATATTTCAGAAATGAATCTCACTGCTCAATATTAAGATTTGAATTGCAATGTTTAATATTTAAGAATCTCAATGACATAGACCTCTGAAATAAACAGTGTTGTGAATTGTAAAAGAGGAGTAAATTTGTAGATTGTAGTAATCTTCTTTTAGGAATATGGTGCTTAATCACAACCATTCCTGTAGCTAGAATCCCTTTACTGTAGCTAGAAACCCTTAATCACAACCATTCCTGTAGCTAGAATCCCTTTACTGTAGCTAGAAACCCTTAATCACAACCATTCCTGTAGCTAGAATCCCTTTACTGTAGCTAGAAACCCTTAATCACAACCATTCCTGTAGCTAGAATCCCTTTACTGTAGCTAGAAACCCTTAATCACAACCATTCCTGTAGCTAGAATCCCTTTACTGTAGCTAGAAACCCTTAATCACAACCATTCCTGTAGCTAGAATCCCTTTACTGTAGCTAGAAACCCTTAATCACAACCATTCCTGTAGCTAGAATCCCTTTACTGTAGCTAGAAACCCTTAATCACAACCATTCCTGTAGCTAGAATCCCTTTACTGTAGCTAGAAACCCTTAATCACAACCATTCCTGTAGCTAGAATCCCTTTACTGTAGCTAGAAACCCTTAATCACAACCATTCCTGTAGCTAGAATCCCTTTACTGTAGCTAGAAACCCTTAATCACAACCATTCCTGTAGCTAGAATCCCTTTACTGTAGCTAGAAACCCTTAATCACAACCATTCCTGTAGCTAGAATCCCTTTACTGTAGCTAGAAACCCTTAATCACAACCATTCCTGTAGCTAGAATCCCTTTACTGTAGCTATAAACCCTTAATCACAACCATTCCTGTAGCTAGAATCCCTTTACTGTAGCTAGAAACCCTTAATCACAACCATTCCTGTAGCTAGAATCCCTTTACTGTAGCTAGAAACCCTTAATCACAACCATTCCTGTAGCTAGAATCCCTTTACTGTAGCTAGAAACCCTTTACTATAGTGAGAATCCCTTTTCTTTTATTAAATGAGATGACAGACTTAAACACAGACATGGTTATTATAAACTAGTCCATAACTATACTAAACTCAGACCAATAATCATCATCATTCACTGTTTTCAGATTCCATGTATACACAGGGGTATCTTCTACCTGGACGGCGAGGTATATTATTGGGTGGCATGCTATTTTTATACAACTAACTTAATTCAGATAATAAAAACTTATTGATGTTTTCAACAAATTTGCTCTGAATGCCATTTCTTATTGCTCGTTTCCAATATTTCTTAATGACAACATTCAGTAATGAATGCACTATCTGTATCCTCTGGCTATTAGTAATTAGCACATTTTACTGTTGATCAATTTTCACTTGCTTTTAACTGTAAATTTGATTAGCATTTTGAAGAAGAATCATAAATATTCTCAAAGCCGCATTTACTCTTGACTGTGAATTTTAAATGCTTGATTTCTCATTACTTTTATGGCATTTTAAAATGGGCACTTAACTCTTGATGATTCTGCACATGCTTTTAACTATGAATTTCAATTGAAACATTGAAACTGAAAAGTTGTCTAAGGAGCCACTTGATATAACCTTTGATAGGCATTTTAAACAAGCCACTTTTCATATTTCAGACGGTACTCCTGTAAAGGGTATATTATTAGCAGGTATAAGGCGAAGAGGTAGGGGTCCATAACAAAGAAAGGTTTTATATTTTGGGATTTCTGGATTGCTGGAGTTTTTCTATATCTTTACAAATAAACTTGAGTGAAGCCTTCTAACCTACCTGACAGTAATAGAATAACAGTCCATCTCAAAATCATAATCTTAATCCAAATCATGAACAGTAGTGAACTAAATCTTTGTTTGTAGACCTTTGACCTTCCTGCTGACACCCAAAACTTAGTTTTATATTTTTCAACCTGTATTGGTCAATCTAGTGACTTATGACTGTCTATGTGATACAATGATGACTGCCTGGAAATAGAGGAATGTTTTGTTCTCATTTGCAGATATTCTTTTCTTTTCACAAACCTCTATCACCTTTTTTTTCATATTTTTGCCGTCTACAAACTCAAGGTTGAAACATTTGCTTTGCTCTATGCATTGTGCATTAAATATATTCATTTTCAGGATTTGACTTTTGTTTTTATGGTCAAGGTTTTTTTTTCTCATATCATGTCAGTTTTGGTCACTAAAATAATTATTTTATATTAAACATATATTATAACAATATATTACTGTTACTTGTTCTAATATTTTACCAATGAAATAGGTTTAGAGAAATTGGTGGTGTTTCTCAAAATATATACTTGTATTAGAAGTATTTTTATGTATTCTTCAAAACAATTTAAATATTGAAAGTGAAATTACTAAAATAATTCTGAGCTTTCATGCTTTTTGGACTCTTTTTTTTTATCATTCTGAGACAGCTTTGAGATATTATCATCTCCTTATAGCTTTGAGTAATTTCTTTGATTCCATGTACTTGTGTATAACTTTTTGTCATCATACTGGATTATATATTGATTGAAGGGAATGCGCTGTGGCATTAGTGTGAATCGTCAATTTATTGGCAAGACCATATATACTAAGAAGTAATATATCTTTGCATTACAGCAAGCGCCACAAGTAACAGTACTCTAACTATTGGTCATTTAGCAGAACAACAAAGACAACAAGACAATGAACCAGCATTTGGTGGTCCTAAACCAATGCTACCTTACAGCTCATTCTTTATATTTGGACCAACTAATCCGTAAGATTCTTCTTATTACTTTATGATTGATACATTGATTGATACATTGATTGATACATTGATACATTGATACAAATAATGTTATAGAGGTGCTCACCGATTAACTTTGTATATTTTCAAATATATATATATAATAATATCGACTGAATATTATAGGGGAAATATTTTTAAAATTGTTCTACGAAAACAAATTATTTTTGTTGTTATACAAATTTCTATTTTAAATTGGTTATTGAGGAAAAAACAAAATGTATTGTTTAAGACATGTGAAAATGTGAAGTATCAATTACTGTTTTATTTAGAATAACAAATTGGTTTCTTTTTTCTTTTCAGAATACGTCGCTTTTGTCATTTTGTGGTGAATCTACGATATTTTGATTTATTTATTATGATTGTAATTAGTGCTAGTAGTGTAGCTTTAGCTGCTGAAGATCCTGTACGGGAGAAATCGGAGAGAAACATCATTTTAAGTTATTTTGATTATGTTTTTACCGCAGTATTTACCATAGAAATGTTACTCAAGGTAAGATTGATTTTTCAAATTAGAATCTCTTGATAATTTATATTGTGTTTTGAGAATGATAGTGGAAGGCACAGCACTATTATTAAATTTGCCAAATGACATTCTTTAATATTTTGGGACATGTAATTTCAGGTTGTAGATTTAGGATTAGTTCTACATCCAGGAGCCTATTGTCGTGATCTATGGAATATATTAGATGCTACTGTAGTCATCTGTGCCCTTGTTGCCTTCGCTTTCAAGTAAGTCTGTTCTCGTGAATGCAATACTTTCATTTTATCATGTTGTTTCTCTTATAGTGTTATGTCGTCTGCTACATGTGACATTTGACCTTTGTGTAATGAATTTTTCTATATTTTCATACTGTTCTATTTTCACTCAGACGTTAGAGCATCATTAGGCCCACATTCTTTGTCCTGAATTGAATTTCAGAGTAGACTAGTCAACACTGCCTGAAATAATTACAAAGCATGATGTTAGTCAGTAAAATTCTAGATATCTATTGTATTTTATTCTTCCATTTTTCATTGTCTAGTAATAGTGATAATGCGTCTGCAGCGTAAGTTTGGGCATGAACTCAAAACAACTTCACTTCAAGTTTTAAGTCTGTCATCTTTGATATGTAGGTGTCTTAATTCCTAAACACCTGGTGTAACTCTTGAATGAGTCTGTCAAATGGCTTGCTCTTTTGAGGAATACTTTAGTATTGGCACTTTTAAATTATAATTTTCAAAGATCCGAAATATTTGGACTAAAATGAATTAAGTCACCTAGAAGAAATTGTAATGTCTGCATGTTTCAGAATGAACACATTACCTTTTCTTACTCTTACTGTATGTTGTCTTTTTCCTCATCTAATCTTGAATGAAAACTTTTTCTCTAATAAAAGTGATGAACTGTTTGGGTAAGTCCTGATGAAATAACCTTCCATCGGAGTTACTTCCCTTTTGTTTGTGTATATTTTTTATGGAGCAATTCACAGTGCTGTTGAGGGAAAGAATGCCTATTCAAATTATGGCAATTTTTTTTAATCAGAAAATGTTGTGCTTTGGTTTAAGGCATTATTTCAGTACCATATTCCAATAGTTTCTGGCAGTAAGACTTACATTTTGAAAAATATTTTGGTTTCTGGGAAAGAAAAATAACGCACTGATTGCCTTGTAATTTCTAGATGTCTGTTTTCATAGAAACCAAGCATGACACGATCTGTGTCTCGAACTGCATTGAATTTAGAAAAAATTTTCTGCATCCTATTATGGTTAGACATGATTGGGTGATAAAACTTAAAATTTGGTTGAAATGCTCATAGTAGACAGAAAAAATTGTACATGAAATACTCACATTTGATTTTAAATGGCAGTCAGTGTGTATATAGGTGAATGTGTTACAAATGTAATGGAATGTGGTGGTTTTGGGATTAAACAAAAAACAGAATGCTTGTTTCACATTTAAACAAATAATATTCTTTATACATACAATAATGAAATTTGATAAACATCAAATCATTATAATTAAGACATTTTTTACCCACAAGTGATCATACTGTTTATATTTAAATTGATTGATAAGAACTTGTACATAGGTGGATTTAACATTAAACATTTTAGTCGCTTGGTAGAATGATATTAGTAGGATTGTTGACTGTTACTATATACACCATACCCATTCAAATAATGTTTCAATGGTAATTTGAAATTTGTCCTTATTTGAGCTTCTTCTCTTTACAGTGATAGTGCTGGAAAAAATTTAAACACAATCAAATCTCTCCGGGTTCTTCGAGTTTTACGACCTCTCAAAACAATCAACAGAGTTCCTAAATTAAAGGTAAATGTAGTGTTCAGATTTTCATAAAAGAAACAAAAAACTATATTTTATAAGATTAACAACTTAAGTTCACACGTCTCCTTTAACAGCTGGTACTTGGCATTGATTTTTCCCAGATTATCGGTACTCCTTCACAGCTAGGTTGACTGGATTCATGAGGAGAGTAGACTTGTTCAAAGTCATCAGACCTAAACATGCTGACTGAGATTAGAACCCATTGTAATCAAATGTCTCTATTTGGTTAACTTTGGTCTATATATCTACCCTTTTCAGTAAAATTTTGTTTTTATATTCAAGTGCTCAAGTATTTGTAATCATGTGTAATTATATTTTCAGGCTGTGTTTGACTGTGTTGTAAACTCACTGAAGAATGTATCAAACATTCTGATAGTGTACTTTCTGTTTCAATTTATATTTGCTGTGATAGCTGTACAATTATTTAAAGGAAAATTTTTCTACTGTACTGATGAATCAAAAGCTACAAGAGAAGAGTGCCAGTAAGTGCTCAATGATATTCCTTTAACATCTTGCTGACCATGTCTGTTACAAAATATCTCTTGCTGTGCTTATAAATATGAAATGTTTTGATTCTACATATAAATATGACCATTTTTTTCATATACAAATTAGTAAAAAAATTCTTGATTGAAGAGCACAAATTAAAACAATACTGATGTTCTCTTGATCTAGTTGGGTTGTGTCAGTTTGAAAACTTTTAAAATAGTGAATATGTATGATAAATTACATGAATGATATATATTTTGTAGGGGTCAATATTTTGACTATGAAGGGAATAATAATGTACCTACAGTTAAAGACCGGCAGTGGTTACGACAAGATTTCCATTATGATGATTTAGTATCAGCAATATTAACATTGTTTACTGTTACCACAGGAGAAGGGTGGCCGAGGTTTGTAAATTTTACTCACTCTTCTGATTTTAGAAAATGATGCAAATCTGATGACTTTCAAAATACCGAAGATGTGATGACTTTCATAGTAACCATAAATCTGATGACTTTCATCGCAATCATACATCTATTGACTTTATTTATTAGCTGTAAATCTGGTGACTTTCATTGCAATCATACATCTATTGACTTTATTTTTTAGCTGTAAATCTGATGACTTTCATATCAATCATACATCTATTGACTTTATTTATTAGCTGTGAATCTGGTGACTTTCATTGCAATCATACATCTATTGACTTTATTTATTAGCTGTAAATCTGGTGACTTTCATTGCAATCATACGTCTATTGACTTTATTTTTTAGCTGTAAATCTGATGACTTTCATAGCAATCATACATCTATTGACTTTATTTATTAGCTGTAAATCTGCTGACTTTCATAGCAATCATACATCTATTGACTTTATTTATTAGCTGTAAATCGGATGCCTTTCATAGCAATCATACATCTATTGACTTTATTTATTAGCTGTAAATCGGATGCCTTTCAAAGCAATCATACATCTATGTACTTTCATAATAACCATATATCTTTTGATTTTCATTGAAGCCATGGATCTGATGACTTTTAGTTTAATAGCAAATTTGATTGCTTTGTAATTGCAAATCTGATTATTGCAAATAATACATTGGTTGAAAATTTGATTGCCACAGTTACAAATATGACCATTTATATATGCATAGATAAATGTAGATCTTTGAAATCAACATGAAAGTGTAGAAATGGGTTAACTGTTAGATTAATAACAAAATTTCATTTCAGCATTTTGAAGCATTCCATGGATTCCACAGATGAAGAAGTTGGGCCAAGACCAGGCAATAGCATGGAAATGGCCATATTTTACGTGGTTTTCTTCATTTTTTTCCCATTTTTCTTTGTGAATATCTTTGTTGCCTTGATTATTATAACATTCCAAGAACAAGGAGATAATGAGTTAATAGATCAAGACTTAGATAAAAATCAGGTAACATTTTCAGTTGTTGTAAAGATTAGTGTTTTTTAGCTATCTATGCTTACATCTTAAAAAATTTAATGTTAACTAGGCCTAGCTGTAACTTTCTTAAATTGAAAACCTGACATTGGATTTGTTTGCAATTACATCAATACAAACTGATATAAGAAGAGACTGTTTTACATGTATGTCAGATTTGGATAAGAACTCAACTAAATCAGTTGCATAACATTATTTATTATTTATTATGAAGTAGAAACTTTGGTGTGATCAAAATTAATTGATTTTGAATATGAACAATGCAAGAGCAAAAGTATTAACCCCTTAACTGCCACAGTTATAATATTGCGAGGGTTAAAAAACATTTTGCTAAAAGCTATTTTCTTTTTTTTCTTTTCAGAAACAATGTATAGATTTTGTGTTGAATGCTAAACCAAATTGTCGTTTTATGCCAAAGAATAAAGATTCTGTGAAATATAAAATCTGGAAGTTAGTGGTATCACCCAAGTTTGAATATTTTATAATGACATTAATTGCCTTAAATACAATAGTTTTAATGATGAAGGTAAGAGATTTTGTGTTTTTTGAAAATATTTATTTTTTTTATTACTTTTATCCCAGAGTACAAATTTCAGAATTTAAGAATTAAACATAAAAATATGATGATATGAGAAATTAGCATAGTTCAGAAATAACGATATTTTTCGATAGATTTATGTAGTTTCCAATAAAAACTGACGATACTATATGCAAAAAATAAGAAAAAATCTTTTTGCTTGTTTGTTAGATCTGCAAATTTCATGACAAAGTTTGTAACTTTTCATAATCTTTTTTATTCAGATGAAAAGACCCCTTCTTATTTATTAAGTAAATTTTATTTTCAATAACTTGATAATCAAACTAACATAATTTCTATTATAAAGTTACTGGTAGTTTAGACTACTAATATATTATACTACTTGTCTGACTCTAACTGTGACAGTCTTTAACGAATGTCACTTGGATTAAAAAATTAATGCATCCAGTTGTAGAAAAAGAAAGATGAATCAGTTTATAAGTAGTTATTTGAAGTCCCTTAATATTTAATGTAGGCCTAGATTTACTGAAAACTGAGAATTAAATCTGCTATTATACATAGTCTGGAAATGTCCCTTTGAAGTTTTCAAAGTGTAAAGAAACATTAAAAGATGCATTTTGGAGAACAAAAGTTATTTATTATGAAGGTCTTCTAGCATCTGACATTATAATTGAAAGTAAAAGATATAAGATCAATTTCTAAGAAAAATTTAATGCTCAATAATTATTTTGAGCATCAATTTTATCTATACTCTGATGGAAATGGAAGAAAAGCATATTTGAGTCCTCTCTTGTTGACTGTATTATATATTTAATCTATTGTCATGATTTAGATATTTCTGTTTTATTTTATTATTTCACCTAATGAATAATAATTATTATGACTTTTTAAAACTATAGTATGTAGGTCAACCTGATGTATATAAAGACATACAACGATATTTAAATATGAGCTTTGCAATACTGTTTACCATCGAATGTACGCTTAAAATTTTCGGCTTTGGCCCGAGGGTAAGACTCGCACGAAATCCAAACTTTAATTCAAACATTTTTGGGTGATGATTTTATTTGATTTGTTTAGTTTTGTTTGTTGATTTTACTAATAACAGTTTGTCTGTCAATGATGGACACTGCACAATTTTAACATTAATTTGGTGTGTGATTGCCATTCATTTCATCTCACAATTTTATTGTTAGTTTTTTGGTTGTGAAGAGAAAGGTCCATTTCTTTTGGTTGTGGAGAATACGATGATGTTTGGTAGAGAGTCAGAACTATGGTTTAATCTCTCTACCAAATATCATGGAAAGGTGGCTTGAATCCTCGGTTACTCTTATGCATTTTTGTGCCTGCTTAATTTTCAGGTGGAACGTGGAAATAAAAATGTTCATGACATGGAGACTAAAGAGTTACCATTAATTCTTAGCAAAATTAATGGCATATTCACTGGATGTTATGTCATAGAATTTATTCTAAAGTTATGTGCATTCGGAGTAAAGGTTCGCAACTCAGTAGAAGTGTACAGTCATTCTGGATATTGTACTTGCTTATATTTAGACACTTGCTGCAAGATTCATTCAAAACAATTCTTCAAATTAAAAAGAAAAATGAGAATCTTGCACATGGTGTCCCAATCCCTAGTTTTCCAGTGATATATTGTACAACATATTGTTCTAGATATAATTGTTTCCTTTATTTAGTTCAGCCTGACTATTCTGTATGACTTGAATCTTGTCCATGGTGTTGTCACTGCCTGAGGAAGTCTTGTATTCAAATGACTCATTATAGCTTATAAGTGAAGGAACATCTTATTTTGAGGACCAAATTGTTTTGTTATTGTAATAATCCTGCAATGCTTTTGATATTGTCATAAGTTTCAGAAAATTTTATTTTTGAAAAAAGCTGAATAATTTTTGATTTATTGACTAAAACATATTTTTTGCAGACAAAGAATAAAGTTTTCTGAATCAAATGTAATTTGCATGATATTTTTATTTATTTCAATTAGTTTTGTTTATTTTTTTTTTTACTTTTAACCCAATTGATTTATATAATCTGTAATGATTATTGCATGCTTACACAAATTGTTTTATACCATTATAATATATTGTTGTTACTTGTCTTCATATGAACACATTATTTTAAATAATATAATTAATTGAAATATTCTTCATATTCATTGTTTTAAAAAATCATTAATTTCCATGAAAAATTTAAACAATCACTTTAGAGAAATATTCCAAAATCAAATTTGATTGCAGCATACATATTACTTAATACATATTATATACACTGATAGTTTAAGGCATTTGACTTAACAGATCTATATTTTGTTTTGTAGAATTATTTTCGACAGCCATGGAATGTGTTTGATTTTACTACAGTAATAGGAAGTATAATAGATGTCTCTATAACAGAGTCATCAGTAAGTTATCATGATATGAAATATATATATTATATATGATATAGATATTGTCCTGGTGATATTGTCTGTATATAATTGGATGACTTCGATTGGGTGAACAGCTGTTATTAAGCTAGAGTTAATGAATAAATGATGTAATAATCATATGTGCGCAATTCAAGTGATAGTCAAAATCAAAGTTTCTCTGCGACCATGTTAACATGTGTTCGATTCTCCGAAAAGCTTGGGTCAGTCCAAAACTTCTAACTGGGTCAAATATTACATCACAGGAGTCTCTCTAAATATTACAAGTCAGAGTTTCACTGTCACTCTGCAATTACTGAATTGAGCTCATATTTAACAATCAAAAACCTGGTTATTATTATATTAATATCTATTTGATTTCTAGGTAACATCTGTTAGTTTTGGTTTCTTCCGATTATTCCGTGCTGCCCGTTTGGTGAAGTTATTACGCCAAGGTTACACTATACGTCTATTGTTGTGGACATTCTTCCAGTCTTTCAAGGTAATCATAAAATTCTTAATTTACAAGTTTGATAACCAACTCTAATTTATAAGAAATATCAAGCATTTTGTATAAGAACTTGCTGATGGTATAGGGATGTTTTTCAGTGAGAAGTCACTCGTTTTGGTTGTTCCATTTTGGTTCTTAAATAATTAAAAAAAACTTGCTAGATAATAACCATACAAGTTACTTTTCTTTGCAGGCTTTACCCTATGTGTGCCTCCTCATTTTAATGTTGTTTTTCATCTGGGCTATCATTGGTATGCAGGTCAGTATCAATTCTATTTTTTCATACCTACATTTTATTCAAATTTTGTGGTGAATAAAAAAATGTTGCCAACAGAAATCACTACTTTTATTTAAAAACCAATCTATGAATTGTTTTATGAATACCAAAACATGATTAGTTGTTTAGTCATTTAATCATTTTATTGAAACAATCATTATGTAAGTATTTGTTAAAATATTACCACTGATTGTTTTTATACAGGTATTTGGAAATATTAAACTTGATTCAGATACTGGTATAAATAGACATAATAATTTTAGAACATTCATAGAGGCGTTAATACTATTATTTAGGTAAGTGTTAAATAGCTATATAACTACTCTCATATCTATTTCAGTCCACACAGTATTAAATATAGATAATAAATGTGGAATAGGATTATCAGTTTTTTACCCCTATTATTTAGATACATACCAAACAACACTGAAATAGTATCGTAGTTTGAAATAAATTTTAGAAAAAAGGTCTATTGACTTAGTCTTCATTATCTGATTCTATTTTAGATGCGCTACAGGAGAAAGTTGGCAGCAGATAATGTTATCATGTGTAGATGGAAGACCCTGTGATCCTGAATCCTACCCACCTGGGGATACAGACCGAGAAAATAGCTGTGGTCTTGATTTTGCATATATTTATTTTTGTACCTTTATTTTCCTTTGTTCTTTCTTAGTAAGTATAGGACATTCTTATATTTCTATTTACGTATTGAAGCAAAACTTCTAAATTTATTGGTTGACATTGGTGACTTACTTTGACATATAACATATATATAATAAGTATGACTTATTTTAGGTTATTTTCCTGAAATAAATTATATTATAATAATAATTATTTTGTAGATGTTAAATCTATTTGTTGCTGTTATTATGGATAATTTTGATTATTTAACAAGAGATTCATCTATATTGGGACCACATCATTTAGATGAATATATTAGAATGTGGTCAGTTATAGATCCTTCAGCTACGTAAGTTTTTTACCATTTATTTCATTTGCTACTTAATTATTACACAAAATCATTGAACTCTGCTGTTTGTGACACGTATTTGAAAGTATTTCTTGAATATATAGTAAATAAAAAACTAACAATTTACTATATATGTTGTTACTCGTGTAAATAAAAAACTAACAATTTACTATATATGTTGTTACTCGTGTAAATAAAAAACTAACAATTTACTATATATGTTGTTACTCGTGTAAATAAAAAATTAACAATTTACTATATATGTTGTTACTCGTGTTCTATTATTCATTTCTCTTGATAACGCTGCCTGTATGAGCAAGTGAAACGTTGAGTTAATAAATATCAGAAATAGTATATATCCGTATATCTTCTGCTTCTTTACCTATGACTATTTCTATATGTCTTACAAACAGTATATACACTCTTGATGTACATAATTATACTCTTGCTGTATTGATGTATTAATATCATTTCAGTGGTAGAATACACTATACTGATATGTATGATGTATTGAGAGATATGGAACCCCCTGTTGGTTTTGGTAAGAAATGTCCATACAGATTAGCCTATAGGGTAAGTGCACAATTTTTATTTTGTGTGACAAATTTTCCAAAATAACTGGTATTTCATCTGAAATTCTGTACTATATTATTATTATTTATTATACAAATAATCCTTCTCTTAATAATAGAGTACTTGAATATGCCTACGTTTTTAAGTTTTGGGCATTTCATCTGAGATTTGGCACTATTTTATTATAAGAGAAGAATTATTTTGTATATTTTCAACTTGTGTTTTTATATTTATAGAAATTAATTCGGATGAATATGCCTATAAGAGAAGATGGTACAGTACATTTTACAACAACATTATTTGCATTAATTAGAGAATCTTTGATGATAAAAGTAGGCCCAGGTAAGTTTCATTTTGTTATGAATCACTAGAGTTGAACATAATATTAAACTTTTTATTTAAAATGGATCCGAATTAGATTTGATACACAAAAGTGACATGGTCCTGTCTAATATTCAAACTTGAGATAAATAATTTGAGAATGTACATTGCTGTGAAGGAAACATGTATCTATACAAATTTAAGTTTTGAATCAAACCAGATGTGCACACATATATCTTTGTTTGACTTAGTATAATACATGATTTAAATATATTTAGAATATACATGGATTTATATTTTTGATATATCCATGAATTTTAATGATAATATAGTTTGTAAGGCTGGTACATTTTTACCTTGAAAATGATAATGAGAATATACAAATCATATTTCTATGAACATAAACAATGTTATATTTTAGCTGAAGAAATGGATAAGAAAGATGACGAAATGAAAGATGTTATAAGACATTGTTGGCCAGTACAAGCTAAGAAAATGTTACCTATATTAATTCCACCAAATGATGGTATGTATTCAAATATTGTTCGGCTATATCAATGATAACCATTAAGAATTCTTATTTTAAGTGTATAGTGAAAATCACAGAATATGCAAAAAATAAAAAAAAAATATTATTGTTTGGATAGTGTGTGTAGCATGATCACCTGTTTGTTTTAGTTTTGATTTTATCATGATCTTTGTCACTTCATTATACTGACTTTTGAATTTCAGAATTGAACGAAGGAAGACTAACAGTTGGAAAAATATACGCTGGACTCTTGATAGCTGAAAACTGGAAAGCTTACAAGGCAAGCCAAACTCAAAACTCCAATCTTAGAATGGTAGGCTTGCCTTATTTGTCCTTAGTTATTTTTTTCTCTTTTTATTTCAATCTAAACCTACCCCTTGAAGTCTTTGACCCTGCCTGCAAGTTGATCATGTGACCCCAATCCTTGTTGACGTGGTAAATGGATCCAATCTTTGACCAAATAAGGTGGATTTGAGAATTTCAAATTCATGTTAGTGTGGTATTTTTATAGTTGACCCCAATAGCTTTCTGTACCGTATAACTGTATGTAATGTACAGTATTAATTAATGTTGCATTATTATTGTGTGTAAGTATTGTGTGATACTCACAGAAACAATACATAGTAAATTACCCACAATGCAGCAAACAAAATGGAGTGGTTTGTATACACCTGTAGAAGTAGGGAGTCATTAGCATTAGAAAAGATAAAACACTATTTACCTTCCAACAGAAAGTCCAAACTATGTTTACCTATGAAACCAGTTTGATTCGCATGTAATTGTTTTTTACACATAATGACAGTTAAATACAGATAAATTAAACATCCCCGTTTAACCCAATGTAAACTGGTTTAAATGTGTTTTGTATGTAATATTGTAAATGCAAATTGTAATGGTATAAGATTACGATACATTTTTTTAGAAAGATTCGGGTTACAAATTTATAAATGATTATCATTCGCATCCAAAAATATTAAACCATTACAGTTTTTGTCTTACAAATGTGCTTTGGAGTTCTTTTTCAAAATATTCTATCTTTCAATGTACCAAAGCTTCACAGGCCTCTCATAGTAATAAAAATTTATGAGAGAAAATTGATGTTTGAATGCCATTAAATACCACAGACAAAAACATTACTCCCATACTAAATTACAGTTTGTTTAATGACTGGCTAACTCAAATTATAATTAAAAAGAAATGAATATTTGAACAAGGCTGTATGATACAGATTGGGTATATAGTAGAATATTAGAGTAAGAACTGTGTATGTTTTGTGTTAAATGTAATCCACTGTGTTCTGTTCTATAGATTACACATCTCTCATTTAATCCTTTACAGATTGAAGATAAAGACGAGGTAATTGACTTCTATTTACCACAAACTACAATTTTTCACACAATTTTTACATCAATGCATGTTGTGATTTAACTTTAAGCCGCATGGGGAACTAACAACACCATTTATCACTCGGTGATTCTATTTAACATCACCAACTTATTGTCATCTTTTATTTCATTGTCATTTCACCACATTCACCTCATTTCTCCTCATTGCTTTGTTTTTTCAATTTCCTTTTCATTATGTTTTTCTCAGCTTCGTATTATTTAGATTTTTGGTGAAACTGACTAAGATTTTGTGATGAAACTAACTTAGGTTTTGTAATGCAACTGGCTCAGATTTTTGGTGAAACTGGCTCAGATTTTATAATGAAACTGACTCAGGTTTTGTGATGAAACTGACTCAGGGTTTGTAATGCAACTGGCTCAGATTTTTGGTGAAACGGACTCAGATTTTAAAAAGAAACTGACTCAGATTTTAAGATGAAACTGACTCAGATTTTGTGATGAAACTGTCTCTGGTTTTGTTATGCAACTTGCTCAGATTTTTGGTGAAACTAACTCAGATTTTATAATGAAACTGACTCAGATTTTGTGATGAAACTGGCTCAGGTTTTGTAATGCAACTGGCTCAGGTTTTGTGATGAAACTGTCTCAGATTTTTGTTCAAACTGTCTCAGATTTTATAATGAAACTGACTCAGATTTTGTGATGAAACTGGCTCAGGTTTTGTAATGCAACTTGCTCAGAACTTTGGTGAAACTGACTCAAATTTTATTATGAAACTGACTCAGATTTTGTGATGAAACTGGCTCAGAGTTTTGTGATAAAACTGGCTCAGATTTTGTGATTGAAATGACGCAGATTTTGTGATGAAACTGACCCAGATTTTGTGATGAAACTGGCTCGGGTTTTGTGATAAAACTGACTCAGATTTTGTGATAAAGCTGGCTCAGATTTTTTGATGAAACTGTCTCAGATTTTTTGATGAAACTGGCTCGGGTTTTGTGATAAAACTGACTCAGATTTTGTGATGAAACTGGCTCAGATTTTTTGATGATACTGGCTCAGATTTTGTGATGAAACTGTCTCGGGTTTTGTGATAAAACTGACTCAGTTTTTAATGATGAAACTGGCCCAGATTTTGTGATGAAATTGGCTCGGGTTTTGTGATAAAACTGACACAGATTTTGTGATGAAACTGGCTCAGATTTTTTGATGAAACTTTTTGATGAAGTAATTAGTTCAGATTTTATTAACTCATATTGCTTTTGAAATTATTAATGAGATAATGAAGTTACCGACTCAAATTTGAAAGTTTATGTAACTGAAGTCATTAAGCATTTTTTGAAGTTTTGGCTCAGATTTGGATTCTGTTTAGAATATACAGAAACTGGTTCATTTTTTGATGATACTGACTGATTCATATTTTTGCTGTGACTGATTTAGATTTTTCCATTTTGTCCGTCTCCTTATTTTCTTGCATAATTTAAAACTTCAGTGTTAATATTTATTTTATTTTGCTATGATCATTATCTATAGAAATATTTAATTTTTTTTTTTTTGGAAATCTTTGCTGAAACTTTCAATATTAAATATCACATTGCTTTTATGTTATTTTTATCAAATATTTTGTCCATGTAATTTTTCACATTATCATGCTTATCATATTTCTATAGCATTATTTTCATATCAATAGCAGGGAAGATGGGCAAGGTTCCTTGGAGGGTTTTACAATAAAAATTTCTAGCTTTTGAATCACCTGATACCACTTTAACACTGAGTCTGTCAATATAGGATCTCTTTTATAGAGTCCACATGGCTCTGTGTAATTATGTTTGAAGAAACCAGTATTTTTATACTCATGTATTTTGATTCTAGTATTTGATTTTTCTTGATTTTTTTCTCTTTAGGATTTTGATTCAGAAGAGGTAAATTCCTTACCAAATTTAATTTTCTTTTATCTTTTTGGATATTATTAATGTAGCATCCTGCATTTTGACACTTTTTCAATTTTTATAATATTTACACAAGTCAACCCACTTTGGGAATGGTTCATACATTTTCAGCTTGTTTCAGTTGTGGAAAAAACAGCTCCAATATTTCGTTGAATTAAATTGTTACTTCACTCATTCATACCAAGATCTGAAGATATTTTTAGAAAGGCATGTTTGCTTGCCCAACCAATCCAATACTCTGGTCAATCAAAATTTCTAGCGCTTTGTAAAAGATGATAAGTTTGTATAAATTATGATTATTAGTAAAGTAACTCACAGAAAATAAAGAAAAAGAAATTAAATGGAGCTGTAGTATATTGAGATCGAGCATTGGTGAATAAGTTTATAGCAACTTTTCCCCAATATTTTGTTCCTGCTTTTGTGAAATCTTTTCATTATATCAAAAAATACAGTTGGTCTCGGGAACATCTTAGACCATTAAACAAGAAAATCGTACAGGGTATAGTCGTGTAAACAGTAAATAAGAGAATGAGACATCATTACAATATGTTCAGTAGGCCAACCAGTGTTCTTGAAACACACAAATATATGGTTATGTACTTTGTGTAATTATATTTCATCGTAATGTCATATTGTACAAGGATCAATCTTTTAGATCTTTGCTTGCTAACATGACCTTTCTCTTGGATTTACATGGTGCAGAAAAGTAGGACGTAAAACTCCATTCATTTCATTTCATTTTCTCTTGGATTTGTTATAATTCCAAGGGAAAGATGCTATATGGATAAAACAAGTTGGGAACCTTTTACTTTGTCTCTTTTATTGGCACCTAACAGAATCTGATACTAAAACTTATTGTTGTAACACAAATTTTATTAGCACAAAATATGTATAAAATGTAATCCTTTTGTTTCAATGGATCTAAACAGATATAAGTTTGTAAAAGGTTTATTTTCAATCTGATTAAAATACAGTTAATTTTTTACCTGTAAATGTTCAATAACATCATGGTATCAATTCAAATTGTGTATTGAGGTGACAATGGCAATTGTATTTGAAGTGTTGACATGTGAGACAACAGGGAGACTGGATGGACAATGTCCAAGTTGTCAAGATATTCATCTGTGCCAATGTATGCAGAAATGTGCTAGGAAACTATAGGCAACCTAGCATTATAAACCTATCATACTGGATTGAATATGAGAACATGACAGTGTTAAACTATGTACTTCAACAGACTTGTTGCAGAGAAATATCAGTTCAACTTAAGACTGATAAACTGTATTTTAATCAGATTTGTTATTTTCGTTAAATTTTTGGAGTTTCTTAAAAAAAAGTGTCTCAGGATAGGTGCAAAATATTTAAACCTATGGATTTTCACTTGTTTGCTTAGAGTAGAGTATTTTTGTACTATATTGTTACTTTGCCATATACTATGGTGGCTGATTTTCGATCCATTCATGATTCTTAAAAGATATCTGGTTAGACACTCAAGGTTAATATGTCACAGACCCATGATGATGATGATTGGCCTCAGGTAACAGAGAGCCAGAGATGATATTATTATACTGTCCGATAACAGAAAAAATACCCCAGATATACCATTGAGCAATAATTCAAATGTCGCAACCTGCTCAAATCCATGCATCATTTAAAAACTCAATTGAAAGTTAGCCTGGCCCTAACTAAACCAAGAAAATAGATCTTGGGATATGAACATAGTGGTATTATATCTTATGTGTCTAGCAGGTATAGGTCCTGAATTTGCCACTTAATTTGATTTCAATTGTATGACAGCATGTTATATGGCAAAGTTCAAAATATATCAGTGATTTTCACATTTAGAATGTTATTTTGTAATTTATTTCACAATTCACTAAATAAAATTGTGTGCACCTCTACCTTGAATTACATCTTAAAACATCTTAAAAACATTCAAGAGCTTTAATACTAACGATTTTAAGGTTTATTTGGGTTTTAGGTGTTTCCTCTGACCCTTATAGATTGTCTTTGCTAAGCCAATGATTTACTTGGGTTTTAAGTGCATTTGAACAGTTTGAATTGACTAGACAATTTGACTTTGTCATTGACAATGACTTTTAAAGAATATGTTAAGTGGAAATCATTACAGCTTCGTTTAAAATTCTAATGCAAAAAACATCATAGCATCTGTGAATATCAGCCTGAAATTGATTGATGTTTATTTTTTTGTTTCACTAAAATCAATCTGGCCTGTTTTAGAAATTCTATATGATTGTTCATAAAAATATGGAAGATGCATATTAATCCTTTTTCTATTTTCACATATTTATATTCTATTTGCAAAGTAATTAGTAGCTGTAGATTAGAGTAGTTTTTTTTTCTTAGCATGGTAGAGAGGTTACAAGGTTTTATGAAAAAATTAAAGATTGCATATAAAATGTATATCTGTATGCATTTAATATTTTTATCCACAAGTGATATCATTTTTAGAACTTTGAAATGAAACTTAAACTATTCTGTGTTAAACAACATCATATTAAAAAGTCATGTTATATTTTTTATATACTGTTTTACTTTGCATTGTCCGTCTATCTAAAGTTGTTCATGTACTTTGAATTTTTGCATAATTTGCTGATAACTTGACCTAAAATTTCGAGTTATTACGAGGCTAAGCACTAGAGAGCTGGAACCTGTAATTTTCCAATGATAAATATTTCCCTAGAATTTGTTGATTTTTTTGTTATTTTGATAAGAGATTTTGATATAATAATATTATGTATGATTTATTAAACAAACCATTATTCTCCAAGATGTTTAAATTTTCCATGAATTTAGTTATTATTGTCACATAAATGTTTTTTTTATTTCAGGCTGAAATGTAATATATTATCATGTATAAAAAGTATAAATGAACTCAAAATTTCTTGAGGGCTCTATGATTTTCATTGAAATCGTATTAATTTGGAAAGATTTTGTGTATTTGCAGAGACCACCATCTTTATTCAGACGATTAATGGGAGCCATGAGAACACCTTCTTCAGCCCGTTCTAGTCAGAGTTTAGATTCTGAACATTCAGACGGTGAAAATACAGAGGGAGGTCATAGGTAAATTATTGAACATCTTAAATATAGATATATAGACACATCTTTAGGGAACAACATTGACTTGTTTCATTATATCCTGCACATAAAGTGCTAAAAATATAGAGTTTTCATTTACAGTTGTAATATATTAAAGAGATTCAAAAGAAGTGTTAGTGACAACACAATCTATATTGAGAATGGTTATGGAGTTGGTAACTAAGATTGTTGGTAATACATTACATGGGGAAATCTGTTTTATTTTAAAAATCTAATGCTATCTTTTAATTTGATTTTGTAGCATCGATAAAGGACCTGTATGGCAGCGATCATTTAGTTTTCTACGAAGAGGTAGTAGTAAGAAAAAGAAAGATCCCCATGATGGAATACAGGTAGGCTATTTACAATATTAGTTTGGACTAGAGGTTGGGATAATCATTAGCAAAAGCTCTTTATTCTGTCATATGCCAAAAAACAATTGTAGGAAAATCTTCATCTGTATATTGAATTGCTTGCGTGATAAATACATAAAACATAGAAATGTTGATAACCATATTCTGAAATTTTAATTCATACCTTTAAAAAAATCCGTCTTTATTCTGCTAGGGAAACAAATTATCTGAAATTTTACCTTGTAGACTAAGAAATGTCTTAAAATTTTGTTGTTTTCTTAAAAAAAGAAATATGATTGTTTCAAAATTATGTTTTGACGGACTGTATATTTATATATTTATTAATTTTGTTGAATTTTGAAATAATATGGAGTTACATGATTAAGGATTTGATCTTGTCATTTGTTAGTTTGATAACTAAGTTTCCTTCAATTTCATTTCATTTCCATAGAGACAATATTATAAAGTAAGATATACTGGATAAGTTTTTATAAGGGAAAAGATAGAAGTAAATGCATGCCATGCCAAATCACTAAAATACTCAGTTGGAATATATGATCTTAACCTATTGCTTTGTTTTGGCGATTCTGACTCTCTTTTATTGCTGCATGAAGATTGTAAAAACTTGCTCTTCCATATTGAGTTCAGAATCTTTTTTGTTTTGCCAAGATGAGGGAAATAACAGATACAAAATAATTTACCAAAATCTAATCTAAAATGGCCGATATATCTGCATCATATGCTATTTTTCTCATTAGGGTCGATTCCACAAAGTTTACAGTGGTTATGTAAATTCTTCCTTTTCCTATGATGAAGATGACATCGATTCCAAAAAGGTAGAAATAGGCAAATTAGAGTTATCTCCCTGGGAAATTGGCTTTTATTATCTTCTTTTTGGCTTAGTCAATTTTCTTACAATTCATTTTAAATTTCATGGTTACGGTAATTTTCTTGTGATTGATATATATATGCCTTCTAGATCCTAAAGATACGGGCATGATTTCTCTTCCATCTTCTATAAAGTTTAGTAATATTCACACTGTTTTTTAATCCTCAAACAGAGTTTGTATGAGGTTTGTTTAAATTAAATTTGAAGCGTAGAAGGACTACTCAATGATTTACTTGTGCTTCACTTGTTCTCTTAAGTGTAAGTTAGGCATAAACTTAATAATTTTCCGTTCAAATAAGATAATTCTAGTAGATCAATCAATTTATTTTGAATAATAGACAGTGTGAATGTTATTTGAGTTGTGAGGTAATGGTGGTGAAGGATATTAATGTTTATCTTATATATATCATTAATTTTACACTTGAACAATATATGTCCATTTATATACATTATCATGACAATTAAAAACCTTATCATAATTATTATTGTCATTATTGATATTATTATTATCATTATTAGTATTATTATTATCATTATTATATATTATTATTAACATTATTAGTATTATTATTATCATTATTAGTAATATTATAAATATTTTGTATTATTATTATCATTATTACTACTTCTAAAATTATTTTCTCTTTTAAAATCCTGTTTCCATTTTTCTGAAATATGTGATGAGTGAATTGTTTAATTTGTATCTCGAAACCAATGGCTATGGCATCAGAATTGTTCTTACTTTGAGAAGGATTCAATCCCATAGCACCTTAACTGGTCCAGGGTTGAAATTATCATCACTAGTTTGAAGATAATTCCTATAGACTGGCAAATTCTTGTTAATTTTGGAACTCTGAAGGCCAGATCAATTTGAAAATTGGACTTGACATTATTTACAATCATACAAAGATTCTAGTATATTGTATCAATGAGCTTGTGGTATGGAGATCGGCCATAGCAACCCACATGGTTACCGGTGGTTTGATTTCTAGTTATGAAAATTTTTTGAATATTTTGTAGTCATTAGAGCTCCTGGATGTAAATGCATCTAATACCAGTTTAAATAGTAAAGATAATTCATTAATAGCCTTAACAGCTAACCAAATTACAGCATCCATGTCACGTTTGAATGAGGTGAATTGATCAGATACATGTGAACACACCAAATGTTGTAGAGCTGTTATATGCACCCTGCCACATGTCAAGTTTTCAGTTTCTTGTTTGTCTTGTATGGTCATACAGTTGACAAGAGAACCCTCTGGTGTAGAATTGAATATTGTATTAGATTTCAGACCTCTGTTGTCAAATCCTACCCCTATGTTAAAAGAACTACCCAGCAATATGATGTACTAGTAGAATAGAATATATTATTGATATTAATTCAATGATGTTCCTGATGTAATTACCTTGTGGCAAAGGCTTTATTGTTAACCCTATAGACATGTCTTGGTTTGGAATTGATTGATGTTCTTTGTGTATATTATAAGACTTCTAAGGAAAAGTAAAGGCTTGATATCTAGTGGAAATTTCAAACTTTGCCTACTTGCATAGGATAATAAGCGTTCTATAGACTATTAGTAGTTGATCTTATATAAGTGAAGCAGTGTGAACAATGACTTTTTGTTATCCCCCATAATATGTCAAAAGTATAAGAACAGTCAATACCCAGTTTAGTGATTTCTCAAAAAGTTTTGGACTGTCTTGATTTATTTCTTCTTTGATTTAGTTTGATATGTGGGGCATATAAATGTCCAGTTCATATGAGATTTCAGTAAAGTTCAAAATAGTTCCTACATTGTCTTGGTATAGTTGTATGAAGAGTTTCATTCCAGTCACCAAGATCTAGTTCAATGTTTATTGCATTAAGCTATAAACCATCCCATTAGGTTATGTTCCAAGTTTGATCCTATATAAAATAGGGATATACAGTAATTAAAGTTCATGTTGAATGTTTGATTGTAGTTGCTATATAGCAATGTTTGTCTTGAAATCCTTTACCCTAATGATGTTCAGACCATCATAAAGAAATAGTTGCTCCCCATTGGTTTTTATGTTGTTTTGCTATGAAATGATCCACAAGGTGTTTGTTTCTGTTTTCTTATCATGTGCTTGTATAACAACCCAGACAGTTTCCAAGTTTGAATATCTAACAAGAATTAAATTCAATTACATATATCTGAATATTTCATAACACATAATCATCTCTTCCAATTTTGTCATTCTCATATATTCGAAATAATGTATCTTATTGTGTTTCAATGTAAACTCAAGAATTCCATCACCAAATTAATTTTTGTTTATTTCAGAGTGGTCAAGATTTTTCAGGAGGATTACGCCCAGAACACGCTGGTCATAATAAACTGAATAGAACTGGTTCTGATAATAGTCGTGGCCCACCATCATTACCAACCACACCTTTATCACCTAGAGCTCATAGTCCACATAGTCCTTATGGTTCTCCTCGTGCTTCTCCCCTACCTTCAAGGCGTTCACCATCACCAAGACGTTTTGATGTGGGGTTTGCTTCAGCTGTCTCCAACATAGTTGATCAAGCCCACACAATAGCTGAACATGAGAGACGTAAACCATTTACTAGTGGTAAGAGTTTGTATTTGTCTGCTATATGTTTTGTTTCTTGTTTTATCTATGATATTTTTAGTTTGATATTAATTCAACAATTATCTGAAACAAATTGTCTCCTATCATACTAAACTTAAACATTAACAAACTTATAGACTTGAAGATGGAGCTTTCAATATAATTGTAAATATTGTATATTTTCAGTTAAATATGATACAGATAGTAATCCCAATTCACCCCAGTTACATACTAGAAGTAGATCTAGAAATAGAATGCCACATTATGGTGGACAAAATGGTTCTCCTTTACCAAGTCCTAGCCCTCATAGAAGAGATAGAGATAGCACATTTTATCGCTCAACATCATTAGAGACACGATCACCTAGTCCTACATCTAATGCTAATGGATCATCACCACAGCAAGAATATTATGGATCAGCAATTTTACGCGATCGTTCACGTAGTCCGAGTCCATTACAATCCCCACCGAAGCGATCAGCAGGCAGAAAACTACCATCTGTCCCGAATAAACCATCTTCGTTGAATCTTGCTCAACCTAAATTAAAAGACAGTAATATGCCTAGAGTGATGCCGTCTCCAACAATACCTACGCAAACTCGAAGCCCTGGCAGTATTAATTTTCCACGTTTAAATGCCTCTCCAACGCGATTACCCAAACTAAACATTTCTGCTCATCCACACCATGTGGCACCTCCAGGGAGATTAAGTAGGCCAGAGCCCTATAGTCCCACAGAGCGAAATAATTTAAATAAACACTCAAGTTCAAGTGCTCAAAGAACTAGTGGGTACGGTCGTGACCGAGACCGAGAGAGATCGTGGAGTCGTGAACGTGGAACAGACAGAGATCAAAGTGCCCATTCTAATAGATCTCCAGATATCAGAACTGGTGATAGGAGTCGTATATTAGCCAATCAGTTTGATGATGTACCACAAGATGGTAGGGAACGTGTTCGTGGAGGAGCATCATCATCTAGATCAGGAGGAACTCTTCCAAATGGATTTAAACCTAAAACGAAATCTCGTAAAGCTGAGAAATATGAAATGAGAAGTGATAGTAATATTCCTTTACAAGATTCTGATGATGACGAAGAAGATTGGTGTTAATATTTTAAATATTGCTTCAAATAAAATTTTTAATAAATCATTTATTCCTCTTGTTCATACTTTACTTCAGTCTTTGTATTTAATTATGTATAGTGTCTTAAACATTTTTCAATATGGAATAATCTTTGTCATATTTTGCATCAGCATTTATAAATTGTTGGGACTAGAATGCAAGTGATGAATTAAAACACCTATTGAAAGATTCTTCAAGTTTATTTTGTGCATTGTGTGTGAAATATGTATTTCATCTGACACAGCAACTTATTATGTGGACTTCTTTACTGGACTTCTTTATGATGAGACTGTGATTTTGTTCTTATCTAGAATATTATAGAGTGATATTAATCTGTTAACATAGTGATTATCTAGAATTTCTGGTCAACACAGAATGATATTACAAAAAATACTCCCTGTGTATTTTATGCTATATGGTTTTATTTTTAGTTAATTGTCAGGGTAAATATTAGATGTTTATGATATTAATAACATAAGATTACTTTCTCATATTGAAATAATCTCTTAAATATGTTAATTTAAAGAACATTCACATCAGTCTATTGGATGCTACTAAAAAAAATTGCAAACGTACAAATGGTCATGAAGACTAATAGATGTACATGTACAATGGTGAATTTTGTATAATTCAAAACCTTTCTGGTAATACTCTATAGAAATCTTATAGATAATTATCTCTATTATATTTAAGTACATTTTAGTGCAAGGCCAAAACACTGAATGATATCCTTTTGGAAGGCAATCTTGTGAATATCTGGACAAATTTTCCTTTGTAAAGTTTTTGAAATTGAAATTTGGATAAAATGCTCCTATAATGTATTTAATATTTTGTGTTTTTTGTGTGAGATTCTACCCCATATATGTTATAATTTGTTATAGTGAGCTGGCCTCCTAATTTGTTATCAATTTCCTTTTTATATATCATTTCTGTTTTTTTTGACTCAAGAGAATTTCACATTTCAACTCAGAATTTTGTGGCTGGTCAGGTTTCTTTTAAAATAAGATTTCCATTCCCATATTAAAATTATAATAAAGCAACATGAAGCATTGGTCAGTAAAATTTTTAAGAAAAAAACTTTAAAAAAAAAATGTCAGGGCCAAGTGTAACTAAATATTGACCAAATATTAAAACTTTAATGACAAGTTACCTATTTGTAATAATTTTTCTAACAATTTCTTAACAATAAGGTAAAGCTTAAAAAATTATTGGCCAGGTTGACAAATACTGAGTTAAATTTGATATTTTCTTAATATTATGTATGAATTCATCCTTTATAATTGTTGAAATGGTGAGTTGTTCAGTAATTGGTTATTGTTTCTGACAAAATTCGTATTGAAACAATGGCTTATTTATAGTATCTTGTGACCATAACCATGAAAATATTTTTTGTATTTGTTGCCTGAAACCTAACTATCTTTTAGTGTTATGTCCTCAACAACCTTTTATAAGCCACTACTGTTTAATCTTCATTAATTGAAATCAAAATTTTTTATTATTTTCTGGATTCCATACTTTCAGTCTATACATAACCTCTTAATTGTCTACATATTGTGTTATTATTTTTTGCTCTTTCAAAAAAAAATCTTGTATTTATAACTAAAGTTAATGTGATAGGTTATTCTTGTTAAGGCAACATTACCTTTGCAAGGCTTTTCCAAGATTCAGTGACCAATATTAATTTTAGGGGTATTTTAATTTTGACAAGTGTGTCATGTGCAATATTTGGCTCATCAAAGACTGTGTTTCTTGTGCAATATTTGGCTCATCAAAGACTGTGTTTCTTGTGCAATATTCTTGTCCTTCAACTTCAATAGTGTGTTTGGATAGTTTAATGTTTTCTATGCAAATGTTAATTTTGTGAATAACAGTATATTCATGTGTTTGTCCTGAAGGATGAATATATATAATGTGTGTATCACTGTATTCATTTGTATAATATTCATGTATGATTGTATATGAATACAACAGACTTTATTATTGACCTTTCTGTTTGTACATTCCCCTTTCAAAACCACACTGTGCATTGTATAATATTATTTCATCATATCTCCATAAATTATTTTCATTTTTCATCTATTTTTTGGAAAACATCATTGTTTTTTTTCATTTTTTACAAAAAATTTGTATGATACAATAATTATGTTTTTGTGCATTGCTGTAGAATATTAATTGTAATTTTAAGGTAAAATTTTCATATGCATGTGAAAACTTTCACTTTTTTCTTTTTGTTTAAATATATTGAACAAATTTTATTATTGTCTTGATGGAAATCAATCTAAATAAATCTCTATCTAGGATCAAGTAACAAGATATGTCTTTAATTCTAGATCCGGATTTAGCTTGGGCCTAGATATAGATTTATCTAGATTGTATAAGACAAGACATTTCCTAAATTGGGAGTAGTAATATTTTTTATTTACACTTTTTAATACATCTGAAAAGAATATTTGGATTATTACACTAATTTCTTTGAACACCACTATTTTATTGAAAGAGTTTATTGTGTAAATGGATTGAATGCTATGTGTGTAAATTAACTAAGAAAATAAGTTTCATAATTAAATTTATTTGGCAAGATATAAGAAATTGTTGAATTTACTTGACATTTATTCATATAAGAAAGTTATTTGTTTGTTATATTTACTTGAAAGTTCATTATAAATATAATAATATTACTTTTCAGATTTGATTGTTAACTTACTTGACAATTTATTATAAATAATATATAGTTATGTGTCAAATTGTATCTACTTGACAGTTTATTAATATAAGAAAGTTATTTGTCAAATGGATACATATTTACTTGGCACTTCATTGTTATATTTCCTTGAAAAAGGATTTACTATATGGAAGTTATTTGTCAAGTATAATTGGTATTTTTACTTGACAGGTGATTATAAATATAAGAAAGTGATCTGTCAAGTTTATTTGTTATATTTAGTGAGAAACTATAAGTTATATGGAGTCTGTATAGAAGTGTTTGAATGATTTCCAATGTATATATTGTTGTGTTTAAGACTGAGTAATCAAACATGTTTTTTGAAATCATTGTCAGGGTTACTTGAGACATATGTTTTTATTTATTGCTTTCATGAATGGATACCTTTTTAATTATTCAAATTTTGCCTTGATACAATAAATATGAAAATATTACTAAGCAGTGTTATTTGTCCCCTTACACGATTCAACTTTAATTCCATGTTTCAATAAGCATTATCTAAATTGAGCTTTGGTAGTTGGGTATTATCGTTAATGAAAGGCTATAACTATATCTGTAAATTTAATACATCTTTAACTTGCTTTACAAATAAGGTTTAACCTTGTAAGTGTGCACCATGACCATGAAGATGTGCCGAAGCTTTCAATAGCTGAAAACAGAACATTTAATCACATTTCTATCAAATACAAACTAGAAATTAGTATTAAAACAGACTCTAAAACATGTTATTTGGAGTTACACTCATATAGCACACGTTCGCTATGCAACTTGAACGTAAATATGTCTTTCTGTTTATCTTTCATTTAAAGATAACACATACTAAAGGGAAAACTTACTAAATGCCAATAAGCATAAAAGTCAGCCTTAGAAACAACACCATTATCTGAAAAACAATGTTCTAATTAGTTAGGTGGTAGTCATGTTGCATACCCCATCCCACTTTGATCTGTGAATAGGTCTCATTAGCTTCATCCACAACTCCAATAAATTAGTTTCTTTAAATGTGCCTCGCACAACCGGTTGTAAATGTACGAAATCGGGCTGAACGTTGCATTGATTTATGGATATGGTTTTTTACAGTCTTATTTTGATGATGGCTGTCTCCTTGCGATTGTAAAATCTCAATAACAGGTTACTTACGATCTTGATCCATCTTCATCAGTAACATATCAAGATCATTATCATCAATATGATGATCTTTGTTTGCATCGTAATTATTAAACAGAAAATGACTGTATTCGGCAAGTTGTGGATTTGGTTTGATCACGAAGTTAACATATTCATGGCGATTTACTTTACCGTCATCTGAAATCAGAAAAAAACTTTTCAGAACAAATCGAGCCTCGCTATAAGCCTGGGATATTGAACGCGTGACTCAGACATCAATTTGGTCTTGGTAATAATGTACTTAGAAGCGCAATGCTAAATTCATATACTATTCTTTGACGTTAAACCCTTTGTGATACATTTAAGTCAGAATAATAAAATATAACTTTACGTACGATTGGTGTCATAATGCTTGAACACTCTTGCTAATTCTGCTCTGGAAAATACACCATCGTCATCATAGTCTGAAGAACTCCATACATCACTTATAGCTCTGTCATACAAGTCAGCTGTTGAATTGTGGGCATGTTGACTGAAAATAATAAAATGGGGCATCTACAACTTCTTAATGCTGCAATTAAAATTCACTAATTCTTTGGTAGATCGTGAACTTTTAGATAGGAATATCGGCCAGTATGACACACCTTTATTGGTCATCCTACTCCTTGTTACGGCAATGACTACGAAAATACTTCGAAAACAATAGTTATTTAAATCAAAAAGCTAATGAATAAAATAGAAATAAGAAGTACAATACCAATATATGCTCGACAATAGAGTGAAGACAATCAGAACACTGCTCAGAAACATCATAGTGTTGATTTGAATATAGAAATAGCGTGAGATTAAAAATCTGGCACTTCTTATCAATTAGTACTTATCATGTACTACCAAATAATAGAATGAATTATATACAATATTTATATATTTTCTAGGTTTTAGGGGAAAATATAAAAATTTAGATGTCAGTGTGGGTGGTGAACGTATCGTGATCAGGAAACCTTATTGTATTTTCACAGTGTTATATAAAGTTAAACGGGATCAGTGCTATAGAGGTGCCACGTTTTTACCGCTTATCTTATCATGGAATTAAGTAGGATAGGTAGGTATATAGATAAGCTCACAATCTTTCATCGGTCACTTTATAGTCAATTTGGAATTTACAACAGGTAATGTTCAATTTTCATTCTTTTCTAAGAAAATGTTTACTACAATTTTATGGGTTTTTGATGATCTCTAAGAAATGCTTCACTTCGCACCTCATACTTGTTACCTTTGAGTTAAAATTGGCACTGTGCACGCGGTTAAGGCTATATTTTGATTTGATTATATGAAATAAGACTAAGAAATGAAGCCAATGCTAGAAATAATTTTAAATATCGATGTGTTTTGGAGAAAGTTAAACCCAAACGAAGTTCATAAAACAAGAATTACTTTTCTGGCATTATTAGAAAAAAAAACAAAGTTGACTTGATAATTATTGGGCACTTTGATGAAGAATTTACTGACAATTTCTGCTTTTATGAACCGGGCACTTATACCCTCGTGAAATAAACACGACTAACCGTAGTAGGGTCTCTTTTTCAGAATCCAAATATGCTGTCATATATCATCGCTTTGATTTGCTTTACAGCTTGCTCCGCGTAAGTATAATACAACATATACAATATCTTTTTTATCAATCTAATTGCATAGTCAATAGATCAGCTTTGCAATCAACTGAAGTTTTAGACCCATGTACCCAATATCCTGTATAGAATAAATATGAACATCTAACAGTATGCGCATTGAAGTTCCCATACTATATTGTCAGACAAACCAAAAGCAAACAACATGATATTTTTGACATTGACTTATAACAAATATTTTTGTTTTTTCAGAAATATTTTGCAGCCATACAATGAAACAGCTAGAGAAATGTTTCATGCCAATGATGCTAATCAAGATGGTATTTATGAAAGAGCTGAGATTGATTACACCTTCATGATCTACGATACCAATCCAAGTAAGTATACTTTAAATTCCCTGTCTGTCATAGCCACCTTCTGTCATCTCAGTAACATTTTATGGCAATACAGGTATTTCACCACCAGATTGTTAATGGGTCTTTCGTATATTACAATTGAGTGTTAGGTAAAATGTTACGGAAGTAAGAAACATTGAAGTGATTGAGATTTTGAGCATTAATTTCAATCATCCTCATGACTAATTCGTATTTTATTATTGTATTCCAGACGACGGAAGAGTAAGCCATGCTGAATATACACAATATATCAACAACACAAGCCCCAGTCTTCATGCTTTATCTCTTGAATTATACAATGTTTATGACGTTGACAACGATAATCTTCTTGAAAAACACGATTATGACAACTTCTTCAAACTCATGGACTATGATGGTAATATACAAATAATTGTTTTTTTTTAAAATGAGATAATCAATGTTTATGTTTATTTCTACGAAAAAAAAATACAAATTATATATTAGTTGTGATAGCAACACAATTATGGTTGTAAATGGTTGCCCATAATAAAAACCCAATTTTATTAATATTACAGATAACAATGAAGTTAGCGAACACGAATTTGTTCACTACTGGACCATTGTAAGTATTAAATTGTATCGTGTCATTTAGATAGATTGGTCTCAATATCCTTTACTCGATTTTGCCATTGTTTAGACGAGGTTTTTGATTGATGGAACTGTCTTGCTTGAACGGATTTTTATTTCTTGTTGTATAAAAGATCATGGATCCTATCTAAAAAAGAATATAAATTAAATATATATTTTAACTGTATGGTTATACAATATCTGATCGCAATTCACCATTGCGTTGATTTGATTCTCGGCAACACGACCAAAGATTGTTGTATTAAAGGTTCTATATAAATTTATATTAAAACGTTTCGTTCTTAATATTTCAGATGTTCGAATCTCTGGGTCATTTGATCGATGCTGGTGGAATTAGTTTGTAATTGTATGAATAAATAATCCAATTAAAAAAAAATGATTTAAACTGAATTTTGATGCAACATGTGTTTTAGGTCATTGAAGTCTTTGACCAATTAATTAATGTCCTTCTGGATATTTATGAATATTACAATTAGACATGTCACTTAACCTGAGTGTCAATGTCGTAGAGATGAATTTCAATTACGTCGTGGACTTCAACCCAATAGCTCACAGACTACAGTTTGAATAAAGACCTGTCTAACTTTTCCAGTGACTCAACTACCGTAGAAACTGGTTGAACCAAGTCCACGGGCCCCACCTCAGACAAAAATTAATTATGTTAAAACAAAGCCCAGGGAGGGGCCCAATTATGTTAACCTACCCATCTAGTTGAGCCACTGACCTTTTCGTATGTAGCACATAAAACATATATTCCTAACTACCATCAAATGGACATTCTGACTGGGATGTTGGGTTAAACGATCGGTCTCTCTCCATTAAGGCCATACGCCTGCTTTTTTTTGAAACAGCGTCCAAATTGAATCCAATGCTCACATTTCTTTGGCAATTGGTTTCATTGCGAGGGGTATCACTCAAATTTGTTTATAATTTGTCTTCTTAACATAGTAAATGTTTGTAGTAGCCATATTGTGTTGCAATGGTAGATGTGGGTCAAGACAGGGTAGCCTATGCTTACTCTTATGGACACTTGATGCCATTTTTCATTATAGAATGTTGTGGGTGTTGTAAAATTAATTCATCTCATAACTTTTGCGATCAGTTCCCTCCCTTGAACTTTTAAAATTGGATGAAAGTACTTTCATCAGTTACCTTCCATGGACTTCGTGTTTGTTGTGTATGTTGACCAACATTGACGGATGTGGCGTCAGGCAGGGCATGATTACTTCTAGACACTTCATAACACTTTTCAGTAAGAAATAATTCCTCATTTTTGATTGACATACTTCCTCATGTGAAACGATCGGTACGTCCCGATAATTCGAAGAATCGTAGGCTTACGCTACGGCTTTAGGCCTACGTCAACTTTAGCTGCTATACCTATGTTTCACCATTATTATGTTGTTTTTGGATTGGTAAATGGTTTATTTGTTACCACGTCAAAGGATACTATTACTAGATGGTACCCCGCTGGAGAGCGACCCTATCTATCAGCCATATTACCTTGAAACCGAATCTTATCTTCAACTCGAAAGATAAAAACGTTTATAGATCATTATTGTAAGAAGTCTGGTAAGAGTTTCTTTATAGAATTTAATCTATCAACTAATAATTCAAACTGCATTTCCGTTGTACACAAATTGGTTTTGCGGCTAGCGCACCAGACCATTGTTCAAAGAATATAAAATCAAATCTCAGTATTGCTAGAGCTACCAATGTTGTCAGAAAAGTTTTAAGCCTAAGTAGAGATTTTTCTCCTTTATATTCACATGTTTTTATATAAGCTTTAGTTTATCAAAGTTTCTAAAGAAGGTGATATTTCAATTAGTCGTTCGAACTATTTTTCAACTACTGAAATGTAGGATTATAGGCTTACAAGAAATCATTTAGATTAATGTTTGAAAGGCATAAAACGTCAAAAAGAAATGCAGCAATTGGCAAAACATCCTAGTATACTTCTATAGCATCATCAACTTTTTTTTACAGTTTTACAATAATTGTAACCTTTCTGTTCCGACACAAAAGATGAGTTTTCAAGTTATCCTTTCTCTTCTTTTTACATATACATTCACGTAAGTTACGATTACCAACACTTTTAAAAATTATGTATTAAAATCTAATGAACACGAAGAACTTTATTTAAAAATAATAACTCTAAGTAAACCAATCAAAATCTCTTAATCTTAAACGAAAATTGATTATGATGTCATAATTGAATATGCATAATTTTCCACAAAGCGCTCAATTTTCTTGAAAGACGAACGGTTTAAATTTTCGCTGTGAATTTTTGCAAAAAATTGCATTAGCATTTATCGCAAGAGTTTTAAAATGGCTGTAATGTAAGTAGATTTTTATTCAAATTTCAATTTTCGGACAATTTTGAGATCTGGTATTAAAACAAAAATCTTTTTGTGGATAGTTTGGCAGGCTTAGAATTCCGATATACCCTTATGTCAAATTATAAATTCATATTTCTATCAGTTTCGGTGATAATCAGAAAAGATTAGTACAATTTAAAAGACTCGTTGACTCTCTAGACCTGATTATTAATCTTTTTATTTTTTTAGATTTAAGAAAGCTTTGATGGACTGTTTGGTTCTAAATGAATAGTATTTAAGATCAAATACAGATATTTTCTTTGTTGTTTTACAATTCATAGAGCTAGAACTCAATACTACGGAATTGTAAAGAAGTATGAGATGTTTTTATGATTCCTGGGACTAATGTGTTGAGATTCTATTCCAATTCGCAAATCTATCTTTAAAATGGGACAGCTGTTAGCTGTCTAATTTATAGTTGACTCTGATGCCGTTTTTACACTTAGAGTACTTGAGTAGATGTTGTAAAATAAAATTTAAATAGAATGCTTTATGACGTTATAACTCAACCATTGAGTCAAAAAATAATAAATTCCTTAATTAACATTGTTTTAAAATCTTATTTTCTTTTTTTGTACAACATATACCAATGCATACAACTCTTGTATATTTTAAATTTCAGAATACGACCCATTTGCATGTTGTAAATTTTATTGGATCCCTATTGAAGAGAGGATGTGGACAGGGAGTTAAATTTTAGATTCATAGAAAACTGGTCAGAAGACATTGAGATCGACTTCACTCAAGGTAATGGTCAATTTTGTAATTGACCGACGGCAAAACGAAAAGGTTTGAACTGGACCTAATATGTCCTGTCTTGTTTGTTCTAGCATACACTATAAGTGTAAGTTTTGCGTCCTATCTTTATAAGGGCGACATGGATTAATGATCGGAAGGACACTGGTAAATTGCTATAGACAGGATTCGTTACCAAATGCATTCACAAAGTCAAACTTGACTCTAAAAATACGTCTTTATTAAATCAAAAAGCGAATTACTGATACAAAGTAGAGGAATTCATAGTTTACTTTCCAAACTTTATTTCACAAGTAAACTATGAATTTCTCTACTTTTCCATTTTAGAAAGATATAATTTGTAAATGTGTAGGGTGGAAGAATGGCTTTGTAAAGTTGTCGCCTTGTTTTCAAATTAGTGAATACTTTGGCAAAGGGGTTAAGGCAATAAAGGAGTCTTTGGAGTTTAAGTTGTTTACAGAGGGTTATGTTTGGCCTTTTGGCGGTAAAGAGGTCAAGTCAGTTAAGAAGTCTTGGCAGGGGGAATTGTTTACAGAAAGTTATGTTTTGTCTTTTGGGGGTAAAGTGATTAAGTCGGTAAAGGAGTCTTGGGAGGGAGAGCTTTTTACAGAGGGTTATGTTTTGTCTTTTAGGGGTCACGTGATTAAGTCGGTTAAGAAGTCTTGGGAGGGAAAGCTTTTTACAGAGGGTTATGTTTTGTCTTTTGGGGGTAAAGTGATTAAGTCGGTTAAGGAGTCTTGGAAAGGAGAGCTTTTTACAGAGGGTTATGTTTTGTTTTTAGGGGGTAAAGGAGTTAAGTCATTAAAGGAGACTTAGGAGGGGGAATTGTTTACAGAAAGTTATGTTTTGTCTTTTGGGGGTAAAGGAGTTAAGTCATTAAAGGAGCCTTAGGAGGGGGAATTGTTTACAGAAAGTTATGTTTTGTCTTTTGGGGGTAAAGGAGTTAAGTCATTTAAGGAGACTTGGGAGGGGGAATTGTTTAAAGAAAGTTATGTTTTGGCTTTTGGGGGTAAAGTGATTAAGTCGATTAAGGAGTCTTGGGAGGGAGAGCTTTTTACAGAGGGTTATGTTTTGTCTTTTATGGGTCACGTGATTAAGTCGGTTAATGAGTCTTGGAAGGGAAAGCTTTTTACAGAGGGTTATGTTTTGTCTTTTGGGGGTAAAGGGTTAAGTCGGTTAAGGAGTCTTGGGAGGAAGAGCTTTTTACAGAGGGTTATGTTTTGTCTTTTGGGGGTAAAGTGATTAAGTCGCTTAAGGAGTCTTGGGAAGGAGAGCTTTTTACAGGGGGTTATGTTTTGTCTTTTGGGGGTAAAAGGGTTAAGTTGGTTAAGGAGTCTTGGGAGGAAGAGCTTTTTACAGAGGGTTATGTTTTGTCTTTTGGGGGTAAAGTGATTAAGTCGGTTAAGGAGTCTTTGGAAGGAGAGCTTTTTACAGGGGGTTATGTTTTGTCTTTTGGGGGTAAAGGAGTTAAGTCATTAAAGGAGACTTAGGAGGGGGAATTGTTTACAGAAAGTTATGTTTTGTCGTTTGGGGGTAAAGGAGTTCAGTCATTAAAGGAGACTTAGGAGGGGGGAATTGTTTACAAAAAGTTATGTTTTGTCTTTTTAGGGTAAAGGAGTTAAGTCATTAAAGGAGGTTTAGGAGAGGGAATTGTTTACAGAAAGTTATGTTTTGTCTTTTGGGGGTAAAGGAGTTAAGTCATTATAGGAGACTTAGGAGGGGGAATTGTTTACAGAAAGTTATGTTTTGTCTTTTGGGGGTAAAGGAGTTAAGTCATTAAAGGAGACTTAGGAGGGGGAATTGTTTACAGAAAGTTATGTTTTGTCTTTGTAGGGTAAAGGAGTTAAGTCATTAAAGGAGGCTTAGGAGAGGGAATTGTTTACAGAAAGTTATGTTTTGTCTTATGGGGGTAAAGGAGTTAAGTCATTATAGGAGACTTAGGAGAGGGAATTGTTTACAGAAAGTTATGTTTTGTCTTTTGGGGGTAAAGGAGTTAAGTCATTAAAGGAGACTTAGGAGGGGGAATTGTTTACAGAAAGTTATGTTCTGTCTTTTGGGGGTAAAGGAGTTAAGTCATTAAAGGAGTCTTGGGAGGGGGAATTGTTTAAAAAAAAAGTTATGTTTTGTCTTTTGGGGGTAAAGGAGTTTTAGGGTCATTCTGTTAAGGTCATTGATTGGCTGTTTTGGGTACAATCCAATCAAATTGCTGCATTTACAAACTTCGGCAATACAACAAGGATGACTGTTATAGTCAAGGTATTAGGCTTAGTTCGCAATAGCTTGGCATTGTGAAGATGGAATTGCAATAGAACTCAAATACAGCTTTAAGCACCAATGACAAATTATTATATTGAGAAATAATAATTTTCTATTTTAGATTCCACCAAAATCGGGTCTCGTCGTAGAGTGCCAAAACTCAAAGAGAACTGCTTCCTGAAAGACTGTTTAATCATCGTTACTTGTCTAACTATAACCAATTAAATGAGATAATAGAATATTTATGTGCATCTTAAGATTGTATATAAATTGTATTTAACATGAATTTTTCTTTGTAATTGTACCATTTTTGTGTACGAATAAATTCTTCATATTATTATTCATGTGTACTTTGACTCTGAATACAAATTTTTGACTTTTGTTAACCTATATGGAAACATTTTAAGTGTTGGTAGGGCCGATAGATACAATCTTAAGTATAATAAGATAGGAAATAATAAAATGTTTGAACTTATTATAATAATATTTAAACGTCTTTGATAAAATGTAAGTTTACTTTGGTCTGAAGGCCATTGATACTGAATAAATTAATATTATTTAAATAAACAATACACAAAAAAGTGGTTTCAGGTGTCTAGAAGAGTAAGCATACCCTGACTGGCACAACAGATGCTCAACAGACACCAAAAATACCACATACAGGAACGCGCCAACAAAAGAAATAGCGACATGTCCGACGAATTTAAGAAGTCCAAGGGACGTAACTGATGAACATTCAATTTCGATATTCAAGGGAGGGAAATGATCACAATAATTGTTACATGCGAAAAAAAGTTCGCCATCACTCGAATAGCGTAAACATACCCAGCCTGGAACCACACCTGTCATTGCTGCTGAATACTACTTATAAAATAAGGAGAATGATAACAGAATCATCTGGTGGCAACTCGACAATTTTTTGTGATGACAAGTTTAAACTTGGTCGTTCAACAAAAACATCTGTGATGATAGTAGAAACAGATATTTTATATTTTTTAATTATATTTTTTGATTAATTCATGATGACGACCGTACTTGCTTAAGGGAAGTTTTGAGTCGATTTTGTAAATACCCTTGTAACTTATGTTAAATGCTTCCATTTAGTTAAGAAATTGGCGATTGGAAAATCAAAATCATCCCGCTTATATCATATAATTTCACACCAAGTCTCTGTTTTTTGTCATATTCAAGACGGAGATCCAAATAGGATGCGTAATTTTCGTCACCAGTTATCGTGTTTAATTTCTAATTCATCGGGATATATTAAATCTAAATATTAACTTAATTTAAGATTTTTTTTAAGAAGAGGACAACTATATTCTGATAAATGAAATTAAAACGCTTAGCTAGTCGTTTGTTATTTGTTTTACGAGTGCTTGCCTGTACTCTTCCTCAGCAAGTATAGACGCAGATGCTGCCCATTGGCATACCTTCCTCTTGCTGATATTTACTTTTTGTTAATATTTTGGAGTTCATTTCCTTGTAAATGGGCTTCAAGATATATCAAGTTTATTCTTTTTTTCAAAGGGTGTACCCGGTCCATATGTTTCACACAAACAATCTAAAACCATACAATGATACAGCTTATGGAATGTTTCATGCAAATGATTTTAACCGTGATGGTATATTTGAACGAGTAGAAATTAACTTCACATTTCAAATCTACGATTCCAATCCAGGTAATATTACTTATATTTCATTATTTAAATTCGAAATCTGATTTTTACATTTTTAAAGTCATGTATTTTCATACACTGATTTACCAAAAATGAACATGACTCAGGATGTTACACAAAAAGAGACAATTGTGCAACAGTGGACAATCCATGGATGGGGTAGAGAGTTAGCATCGGGTGGTTTCTGGAAAGTCTGAAGTTAGTGGTCCTGATTAGTGGATTTAGAGAGCTAAACTCGACAATGGTTCAAAAGTGGACAATCTCCTAGTTGTAGGCCTAAATATGGTCAATGAAAGGGGTTGAGAATTGAAATCCGGTCACTTCTCGAAACTTAGATGTAAAAAGCCAACATATTTATCGGTTTGTCTGAATATATATATAATATTTAATACAGAGGACGGTCGAGTTAGTCATGCTGAATATACTACTTACATCAACTATACAACACCAAATCTCTACCCTTTATCTAGTGAATTATACAAGATATATGATGTAGACAATGATAACCTACTAGAAATTCATGATTATGATAATTTCTTTAACCTTATGGATTCTGATGGTATGTATTTTATTCTAAAGGTTTGCAATTTGTGACTTGGTCTCTCGTATTCGTACAACAGTAGCTGTAATAATTGTTAACGTGACACCGTTCTAAAGGAAGTTCAGGACGTTTGTTTCGCTAGCCGGTATAAATTATATTACTTTTTTTATATCTTAATATAAATGCTAGCTACCAAAATATGTTAATGTTTAATGTTCTATTTCAGAGGACCAACAAGTAACAGAACATGAATTTGTTAGGTATTGGACTATAGTAAGTTGTAGTAACTTACATTTCTCAAAAAGATCATCTAAAATCTTACATTCATGGTGTGCCTTTTTGTCACTCATTCGTACAGATTCAAATGTCAATCTGAAAGTATTATCATACATAATTTACGATTAACTCCCCTTAATCATCATTTAACTAGACATGGGACAATAAACCATTATTTTTTAAATTGATAAAACAGCAGATGTTTTCATATGCGAAATAAACGGAAATATACGAATTTTGAAGAATTTTTGAAAAATAGCGGATAAAATTGACGTAAAAATGAAAAAATCTGAAATATTATGTCCTGATCACTGTAAACATAGCTTGTATGGGGTCTACCATAAGGTTTTCGTGGTTGCCAGAGTCATATATGAGCTCAAAATCAAAGATGGCGGCATAAATCCAAGATGGCGGCCAAAATTTGCGAGAAAATTAGAAATTCGATATATTGAGTCCCGATTTCTGTATACATAGCATGTATGATGTCTAACATGGGGTTTCCATGATGGCCAAAATCAAAGTTGGCCTCAAAAATTAATTTTGATAATCCAAGATGGCTGAAATCCAAGATGGCGGCTATCCATATCAAGGATATGGCTTGTTTGGTGTGTAACACAACCATCTAATAATGAAATGCAGCCAAGATTCATTTCGCATTGATGATGTCATAGTATTGATGATGTCATGATATAACTGGTATCCATGGAGACGTTGCAGCCGCCATTTTTAAAATCATTTGATTGTGCTATCTTTCCAGAAATTTTGAACTGAAACTGTACTATTCGAGTGAGTATGACAGAGAGGAGGAGTAGTGATTTGAAGAAAACCTTTTTCGGGGAAACTTATAGAGAAGAGATTCAATTTTTGATAAAAATCCAAGCTTCAAAATAGTGTGCATGTCATTGGCAGAATGCTCTCACTGTGTAAAACTGTGCCTGGACGGAAAAACATTAGTAAAGAAGATGCAAGCTGTGTCGTCGCTGAGGAATTAAGGCAAGATTGGATCAGAAAAAATGTCTACCCAGCAGAAGAAAGGTCAGTCAGCCGAACTATTCTACGTGATTATATAATGTTCCGAGATTTTAGAAAGGTGGAAAATCGATCTGATAGAAAGAAGACACTGTCAGGGTTGGAAAAAGCTGGCAAATTCAACAACCGCATGAGAAATCAGGCCTATGATATAACGTCCAAATCAAATGAGTACGATGGGCAGCTGGCTAAGGAATACGGCGTGCGAATGACGATGGAAGACCAGGCATTCTGGTATGATAACTGCTACGGCGACTATGTAGTGACCTCAACAAGTATCATCCCGCGAAACTGGTCGAGGAATAAAAAGAGGGTGTTAAACCGTGAAGAAGCGATGAATATAAAACTATCCAAAATTAACGAAGCGGTTTCTGTTACATATTCAGGTGACAATAGTGAAATTCTAATTCCTGATGATGATGTTGATAACGATAATGACGACGACAGTGATTATGAACATTACATGTCCGCATCAGATCTAAACAAAAACTGTGATGAGTCTCATGTGACCCAATCTGTAGAAGAACCAAATAGCAAAACCAAAAAACAGTTCCCATCAATTCAAATCAGATCCGGCCATAAAACAATTCACGAACCACTGATGCGCTGTCTCGTCCACTGTATCTCAAAGTATAAGGTCACTACTAATGACCTGATGGGAATCACTGTATCGATAGCCAACACGATATTTGATCAAAACTGGGAGTTGGCCGGAGCATCTAGCAACACTGAAGTGCCTGAAGACTTGAACGATTGTGAAAGTGACTTTAGTGGGGATGAAATGGATGATCCCAAGAAGAATCGTACAGCTCGTGATCTCACCTTTGTAATGCCTAGTAGAAAATGCCTATCAAACTATGTTCAGGATGCTTCGTGCCTGAACTTGGAGATGGTTGCCCGACACCTACTGAACAAAGGCGATGATGTCATCACCGTTGGGCTAGACGATACAACAAAGGCAGCCGGACACAGATTATTCGACATCAAAACTGACAGTATCACAATCACACAAGCCTCTGGCGAGAAAAGGTTGCTCACAACAGGTTACCTTGAAAACGCTTCACATGCTGGCAAAGCAGGGGCAGAAGCTTACAACTTCAAACTACAGTGCCTCGCTATATTAGCTGGCTCAAGTGTTGATGAAATAAAAAGCAATATTGACTTCTGGATGACGGACCGGGCAGCTGACTGCTCAAAGATGTTGACTATTCTCGGTATTGAGCCAGCAAAGTTTCTGAAATGCTGCGCCCATCTACTTCTTTGTATTGATCACAGTATCGACAAGACTTTCAGAGACACAGAACAGATAACTGGCTTTGACAAACTGATTAACGCATCCAAGATACTACACTCTACTTCATACAGTCTCCATACGCTCGGCTTGATCGCACTGGCTAAACTGATGTCACCTAGCCATGCTTCTCATTCTGTGTCCTTACACAACCAATTCAAGGAATGGCTCGCTGGACGAACATCCCAACCGGTCCAAGATGTGAAACAGTTGGAGAAAGACTTCTTGGCGACCGTGAAAATGGCAAAACGGTTAGCACTACTGAAGAAAGAAGAGCTGAAAAAAAAACGAAACGAAAAAAATGCTGAAGGTTTTGGAGTCATGCAAGACACATGGAGGACCAGTAACACCGACAACGATAAACCTGCTTGACAGATTAACAGAGAGTCAACTCATCACCGAAATATGCTATATACGTCTTACAATCTGCCCAGATATACACCAAAAACGACGAATCAAATTACCAAATGGACATTTCAAATTTCAAACATTCTCCAAAGCAGAACTCAAGCAAACCATCATTACCGTTATCAAGCCCGGAAATAATGTTGTGGAGAATATTGATGAACTCGTTAAAGACGCTCTTAAATCTCATTAGTTTTGTGTTGATTGGCCTTATGGATATGAATATGAATATGAAGTGTATTGTATGTCTTGTATCAGATTTTCATTTTTACTGTTAATTTTGGTCGCCATCTTACATTTCTGCCATATTTGATTATTTGAATTTAATTTTCCCGCCAATTTTGACCACCATCTTGAATTTCTAATTTTACTGCTAATTTTGGCCGCCATTTTGGATTTCCGCCATTTTGGATTATTGAAATAAAATTTTGAACTCATATTTGACTTTGGCGACCGCGAAAACCCCATGTTACATTAAGTATAAAATTCTCCATTATTTCCAACAATTTCGGCCGCCATTTTGAAAAAAGACACTGCACCAACATAAAAATTTTATTTTCATAAAACAAATATTTCTGATTCTAAATTTTCAGCCAATTTGGCATCAGAAAATACCTGGCATTTACAAACTTATATTATTGTCCCATCCCTAATTTAACTAGAAAGCTGTGTGACGTTTATTATTTTCTTTTAGCTTCTCGAATCACTGGGACATTTGATCGACAATGGTGGAGTTGGTTTTTAACTTCGACTTACGACATGAAGATGGATACCTTTACCATTATTGAATTACACTGATATGGAATATATTCATATTTTCTTTGAACAGATAAAATCATTGCCAGAAATACGACTTTTATTGTGTAGGACTAGTTAAAATAAGTCAGAAAACAATTCCACATGCTTTTCTATGCCTTTGTTTGCAACTCTGCTTTCCTTAACGACTATTGCATCATAAAATTGTCATACCATATTAGCAATCGACAAGAACATATTGCCATAACTTCCTCTACACGATAATATAATACACAACTTTTACTTTAGTATAAATCTGGTAAGCCTACGTAATATATTTATTTAGTTTGCCCACAACAAGTCTAATCACTAGTCTAGTCAAAGCACAATCATCACGTTATAGTAGAAAGAATGGCTATACACAGAAATTGTAGTTGAAGGATAAAGTTTTTAAAGACGGCATTTTAGACTCTTTATTGTACGAATATAATGAACTATGTGGACCTACTTACGCAACCCCAAATCCAAAAAAATATATTGACGAAATATTGGTAAATGCTAATTAACTTTTATGAGGAAGTGGTATCAGGGGTCGAGAAGAGTAAGCATGGCGCCACAGCCGCCAAAGCTGGTCAACAAACACTAATGCAGCGGACACACTAGGCGAATTTAATTCGCTGGTACTTCGCCCGAACAATTCGCTACCGAATCCATTCGGCCGACGAAGTGGACACACTGGGCGAATGTTTGTGTCGATAATTTGCCACCGAATTAAATTACGCATGCGTAGGGGAGACTTAGTCACATGATCACAAAATGGCGGTGTCCACAAAGAAGCGGAAAGTGGCAATTGTACTCGGAACTCTTTTGGTTTTACGTCGAATGCGAAAAAGAAGAGCGCGATGGGAGAATATTTCAATTCATACAAAAATAATCCGAGAAATGTGATTTAGAAAATTTATGATCACACAGTAGAGGTGTGTAATAGACATAATGTCATTAACATAAATAAATAAATAACACAAATGCAGGTAAATATCATCAATAGACGAAGATTAGAAGATTTGCCAATTAAAATATTTTGATTGTTGATCGGTAGCCTACCGTCGATAATCGATCTCAATTTGGTAATCGATACCCAATCCTCATGACACCCAATACGGTGGGTAAGGTACGATCTTAGATTTCATTTTGATAAACAATTCTGGGATTTCTGCTTTATTATGATATTGGCTTCACTACTATAAATTTCACGGTTTTGCGATAGGCCTAGTTGCAAGTTGGTTTCTTGCGTAGGCCTACTCAGTCAGTTAAGGCATTTTGCCGGGCTAATTTGAATTGAATTGGTAGGCATGCAAACTGATGTGTCCAGTGCATCAGCGATGAACTGTTTCGCCGCCTCCTTCTGCACCCTGTCCCTATATTCGGGTTTGCTAATATCATATAAGTTGGGCTTAGACTCCCATAATATGATTAATTCCTCTTCTTTTTCCTGATTCCATATTGCATCGTTGGAGGTCGCCATTTTGTTTGTCATGTGACGCTTCGGCGTTTGTGATTGGTTGAGTTATAGGAATATTCGCCTTAAACTTCGGCCGAGTGGACACACTTGCCGAATGAGTCGGCGGCGATTAATATTCGGCCGAATATTATCAAACATGCTTGATGTCGGCGAATGGCTGCGGCCGACGCTCGGGCGAACGTCGGAGCACTGGACACACTAGGAGACTCAAGGCGAATTTTACTGCCGATTGATTCGCCCGAACCATTCGCCGTGAAAATTCGCCTAGTGTGTCCGCTGCATTAAATAGAAACGCACCAACAGAAGACATAGCGATGAATTAACCTACGAATTTAGAAAGTTCAAGGGACGTAACTGATGAAAATACATTTATCCTATTTCAATAATCAAGGGAAGGAACTGATCACAATAATAGTTAATGTTGCACCCGAATCCACTCAGAAGCATTTAATCATCCGAAGTGGCACCAAATGATCAGAAGAGTAAGCATAACTTGCCTGGAATCACACCTGTCATTGCTACTAAATACTAATACATATAAAATAGAGAGGCAAAACAAAACCTACTGTTTTATAGAATCATTTGGTGGCAACTCGACAAATTATTGTGATGACAAGTTTAAACTTTGTTGCCAAACAAAAACATCTGTGATGATGGTAGAAACATATATTTTATATTTTTCAATTAGTTCATGATGACGACTGTACAATTGCTTAAGGGAAGTCGATTTGGTACATACCCTTGTAGTAGTAATGTAGCTTAATATGTTAAATGCATCGATCTAGCTAAGAAATCAGTGTAGAAATAACATTCTCTAGAGTATCGGACCAATTGAGACGCATATATAAGCCTACTCCATAAACTGGCGAATGTGGAATGTTTCTGCACTTAAAAGGAAAATTGACGATTGGAAATAGAAACATAGATAGTAGCTTTTCACATGAAATAGGCCTATATCAATCATAATTGATTAAGTATTTCATAATGAAAAGTGGTATCAGGTGTCGAAAAGAGTAAGCATACCCTGCCTGTCACCACACCCGCCAATGCTCAACATACACAACGAACACGACAAACATGAAGGATAAAAAAACCCCAGTGATTTCTAGGGAGGGAACTGATCACGAAAGTTATAATTTGGCAAGAATTTTGTTTTCAAACACCCGCAACCATAAGGAATCATTCTGTAACGAAAAGTGACATCAGGTGATCGAGCATACCCTGCCTGGAACCACATCTGTCATTGCTGCTAAACAGGCTTACTACATATAAAATAGGAAGGCAAAACAAACCCTAGTGTAAATTAATTATTCAAACATCTGGTGGCAACTGGACATATTATTGTGATGACAAGATGACTGACACGCCACCATGTTTTAACATAATCCTGAAACAAAAATTACTGCGATGATGGCAGAACTTATTATATTTATATTATGACTGCTTAATTAACAATTAGTACTCTTTTTTTAATCAACCCTTGACGTACATAGCATAATTTAGAATAGTATAATTAACAATGTTGGATACTGCCTATACTGGACATTAAAATAAAGAGAATATGGTCTGATGATTCAAAAATTAGATATCTTCACTGACTCGAACACCTCGAAACGGAACCGAAACGGTCATTATCCTCTTATACTGATAGGGAAATGAAATTACTTCACATCATGTGCACGAAGTTCTTATGGTAAAATTTACAATTGCAACTTTTTATTATATACGCATAAGGATGGATATATGCTATCATTTCAGTGTATATAGTTACTGATTATTGTGCAAATCAATTCATACATTCGGGTTACAGGAAGTAATAATTTAAAGTAGCCGATAATACTTAAAGATAGAAACTGATATCTGGAATTATTATTACGTTAAATCTGTGGTAATTTCGTACGAATGAAAAAAATCATGATTTCAAAAATGTTAAATTTTGCCGCTTCTTGTTTGTCGGTTTGCGATGTGATATGGCCAAAGTCATTTTCCCTGTTAAATAAATGAAACCTCTTAAAAAGTTAGCATGCATATTCTCGTCTATGTGTTTGCTTTCTCAGAACAGCCTTGCCATTGTTATTATCGTCACATTCGACCTAATGTGTTATGCAATTTAAACAATTTTCCATCCCCAGACTTTGATTCTTACGTGATACAAACAGCTGACTTTAAGCTCTCATGTTTAGGAAAGTCATTATTCTACAACTGTACCCCTTTAAGCTGGTTTACCTTATCATAGTTAAAATGAAGGATTGCGAAATAAATTCCCCTGTCTTTTTTTTAATCTTACCCCTTCCTCTATAAATAGTTATCAAATTTATATCTGTTTCTGATCGAATCGATCACAATCTCATATCACAAAGATTTCCTGATATGTTGAAGGGCATTTCCTAAATATTTCACTAAAACAAAAACCACTAATGTAATACGCACTAGTTCCTATTTCAGTAATATTATCCCGGTATTTTCAGGTCTATATATTGGGGCAACACTGAGTCGATATTTACTTGGAATACATGCTCCTCTGTCAAATTCGGTAGCACTACATTTTACAGCGATTGAAGTGTATTGTTAGTCTTTTGAAACACTAAAAATGTACCTATAAATCATCCTTGGATACATTTTCTATTTTTTATTATTATTTATTATTGTATATTATCGTCGCCTCCATTGTTATCGATACATGTATTAATACCGAATCGATTCTTGATTGATGACGTATTGATATTATTCAGGATGTTCCTGGTTGCGTCTTTACTTCTATAATATATCACAGTAATTTAGTTGATCAGGATGTATGGTCGTATCTTCCTTGTCTTCTTTTTAAATGCTTGTGTCGAGTCATTAGGTAAGTAAATTTTTACATTTTCACTTATTTTCAATGAAAAATACACAGAAACCGGTACATCTTGAAATTTTATACCTTGAAATTATATATATGAAATAAGACAACTTAAATTGGTATACCTTGAAATGCTTCACCTTGAGATAATACACTTTGATGACATGAACCCCTTGAACTAATTTGTTAAACATTTACCTGAATTATTATATAATGTTTAATCTATTTTCTTTTCTTTTTTTAAATTATGATCTCAAATTTTACTTTGTCAAATTGCAATTGTATTACAATTTCCGGTATACCTTTTACACCTTTCAAAGATAGAAGTAGGTAATGTTATTGAATTCAATTCAGGCTTCATACCCAAGATCAATAATTATATATGTTAAATTAATCACCATTTTGTTTCTGTAGCTCTAGGGCATAATGGAATGATAACTCGATGTTTAAACAGAAGGAAAGAACAAATATACATCAGTTGTTCAGATGATCATGTAATATATCAACCAGAAATATTCTTGGGTATAAATAATCAATCAGAATGTGGTTATACAACAGGAGATTGTACCGGACTGTCGTATAACCTATTGAAACAGAAGAATAAATGTCATTGGAGAAATAAATGCAATTTCGGCTGGCGAAGAGGGGATGTTATTCTCCGATCGGACGACCAAAAGTGTATTGGAACGCTGCCCAATTATGTTTCGTACATAAATCCAATGTGTGTTCCGAAAGGTATTATATTTGTTATAGATTCAGTTAGTAAATTAAAATAGTTTATACTGATGATTTACTGATTTGGTAAAAAAGAATGAGAAATTAAAACAAAAGATTTACATTTTCCATAGAAATATTTCAGAATATACATCAATATTTCCGTTTTTCAGGTGATGTGCACAACATTTGTAGCGGTCATGAGAAGATACTAACGTCAAAATTTGGTATCATACGCAGTCATAGAGAATATCCATGGGCATATGGTAGTACTTCTTTAAAATGTTCTTCTATAATAGATATTTTACATGGATTCCATCTAACATTAAAACTTGATGATGTCCAAACCCGAAATGGCGACTATCTTCTCATTAGTAATATAGTCAATTCAACGTCAGTGACAATTTTCAATGGTACTAACTGTAGTGGAGATATTTTCAGTATAAATTCGGGATCTGTAGAAATTGATTTCATCTCACAGCCTGGTGCAACGATTGGAAGAGGTTTTGTGATCCAATTTAAACGTATGTATACCTTTATTTAACTCCTGTCAAACGTTTGACAATGATGAAGCTAAACGAAGCTGCCTTTTAGGGTCAGAAAGGATTTGTGTGCCCTTCAAAAGTTGCTGTATTAAAATTCTTTGGGTGAATTCTATGGTATCTTTTATATTTCCAGAAAATAATTTTATTGAAAAATCAAAGTACATCAAACCGTATGCAAAAGCCACATCATCCACTGATGGAGAGGGTACGTATATAGATGTTCTTTACAAATAACCTAAAGGATACAGAATCATTGGTATACTCCTGCATGGAATGTGTATCGTTGGTCCTCAGATGCATCCGTTTGTCGTTCAAAATTTCTGGTAAACTTTCTACTAGGTATGCATCTGGTTGTATTTCAAAAAATAATTATTACAAATCCAGAAGTATTTATGACCCATATCGAAAATCAAAAATATTTGAAGTCGTTGACTTAATTTTCCGAAACGCGTTCATTTGTTTGCTAGTAGACTAATTATTGATTTTAAAACAAAAGTGAAATGATTTACCATCACACAGGGAGGAACCGCATCGAAGGTCAAAAACGCTTTTACCTTAAAGAAATATATGAACGTAGGTCAAATTTGTCATGCCGTTCTGCAATGTCCTGATATAAACAAAGCTATTAGTAGGTGCATATAACCTTGTAGGCAATTTATCTTGAATTGAAATTCGATATTCTCCTGCAATTTAACATGCTGTTGAACTTACTATTGTTTTTATAACAATAAATTCGATTTTTATCACATGTAGTTAACGAATAATTGTAATTGTCCCTAAAGACGTCGGTCTTGCACTTGTGTCACTGCTCTGAGCTCACGTTAAAAAGTCCCATTTAAATAGGGACTCTGTGTAAATAAGTCCAAATAAATAAAATTTTATTGATATTATTTTATACATACCTCTGCATTGAATGTCTCACTTTTCTTGTAGTTAATGGAATTATAGAAGAATGCATGAATCAAAAGACTGATACAATATACATGACGTGTCCAGCTGATCACGTGATCTATAAACCCAAAATGGCAGTGGGTGCCAGTAATTACGGCGTTTGTTACGGGAAACCAGGAGACTGTAGAGGCCAGGTCCACACCATTCTTACTCGACAGAATGATTGTTACTGGAGATCAGACTGTAGTGTATCTTGGAATGGGAACATACCCATTACAATGTTTGCCTTTCCAACCTGCCTTTCGCTAATGCCGTCATACGTAACTATCTCTAAATTTCAATGTATTAGAAAAGGTAAAGTAAATTTCAAATTGTATTACATCTAGTAATGTCATAGTGTAAGATCCGTTTTTGTATAGACTTCAATGAATTTTACTATTTTATTTTTCTACAGCTCTCATCCAATCAAAATTCTGATTTCTTTTTGAGGCACGCTTTAATCACAAAAAAGAGATAACTGGTCGGCTTTCGAAAATTTCTTGCATCGAAGAGGATTCGATGTTATGATGGCACTTGTACGCATCAAAATCCGAACTCAAACTGACTGTCTCTGAGAAACATGTGGTTTTTAAGACAATTGCTGTATTTAAGAATCTAATAATAACAAATAACCGTGTTAGTTTTACTAGATCTATCTGATCAAGATTCAGTCTACATGGTTTCGCAATTGGGTGGAACTGAGAACCAAGCAGATTGTGGACGTTAAAATAAGGAAATGAAAAACAAGAGTTTGCACCAATACTATTCCAAACTTTATCTCGTTGCACTCCATTGATAACTTTGTTTTTCAGATCATGTATTTGATATTTGTAATAAATCCAATTGGGAAATCAAAGCACTTAAGGGTCTCATCAAAAGCCACAACATATATCCTTGGAATTACCAGTCAGAGACAAAAACATGCAGAATACGACTACAAGTAAATGCCAGGTTTGGATTACGACTTTACACTGAAGACTTTGATTTGGATATTGATGCACGGAAAGAACGAGTCAACATTTGGCATGTTACACCTAGTGGTAAACGAATCAAGAAAAAGAAACTACGAGGCCAACAACAAACAGAATTGGTTGTTCAAAGCGGATGTGTTGATATTGAATTTAAAACATCTAACCATACTAAAGCGGGTCGTGGATTTGTACTTGCATTTGAAAGTAAGTAAGAAGCAGCTGCACCATTTCTTCTTGACACTAAGTGATGGGCGAGTGGATAATTGGTTATGGTGGATTGTCTCTTGTGCATATACTATTATTCATTGCAATTGTGAAATAAACTTAATGTTTTTAGAAGATCTCCTGGGCCATAATATATTTATGTCATAAAGACATTTAAGTAAATTTCCTTGTTTACCGTAATACAGCGTGAAAGCTTGACAGATAAATTCAGTTTCAGCCAGGAAATAAGAAATTTGCAATATCACATACATATATCAACTACACGCATTATTATTAATTATTTAGATTACATAGAGATATCCGAGAATGAAGGTGATATTATAAGCGTATCCAATCAAGACGACTGTGGTGGAAAAGCAACCTTTTTCAGAAGAAAATCGACTGCGAGGAAAAGAAAAACTATGGGGAAACTACATAAATCAATTACTATAAAAAAACGTAATATAAAAATGCATCGAATACTGGGAAAAGGTGAGCCCTCTACATTCTCGTGGAAATTCCACAAAACAGGTCATACATGATGAAGAAAATTTGAATAGTATATCTGTAACTTGTCAATATCTAGATAACCGAAACAGCTTCCCAGTATCACCCAATGGATTCCATAATTTTGTAAAGGAATGCATGGACGGTATTTCGATAATTGACTTTCTCAAGCGCACTTGTAACTACTGATCGATGCCTTCCCCCTTTAAAACTATAGAAACATTTATCGACATGTCTATTCTGCTTCAGGTCGTAAGAGGCACCACAGAAGAAACAACAACATAACGTGAAATATTCATTGTATATATTTACTGAATATCAGTGTAAAGAACTAAATAAAACTTTGTTTAGTTTACATGTGTATCATAATTTTCAAACAAACTGATTTGTCATCTTTCTATCACTCTATCTGTAGACTGGCCCGATTGTAACATAACATGTTTTCTATTTTATCCTTATACATATTTAAACTAATTGTCATTTTCTATAGGCCAATAGATAGGATTAAAATAAGTAGAAGAGAATCTTTCGCTTCCTTTTGTCTACAAGATATAATTGTATAATTTGAATAATATCCAGTATACCATAGATGTTATAATTAATTTCCTCTTTTAATAATTCATCTTGTTTGTAATCTAGATTGTAATCAAAGTGTAAAAATTTCGACCCTGATTTAAATGCATACTATATTTCGCAATTTTCTAATCAGGATGTATTTATGTAGTTAAATATAAAATTGTCAGCTTTCTTCTATTGGTTGTATAAAATTATTATGTTATTAAATTTATAAATTTTACTTTGATGTATTTAAGAGCGAAATATTAGTTGGTATGCATAGAAAACCTATTTTAAGGATTTAAAAATTCCCTTTTCGGATCGGAACTTCCTAATCGTGACCCACTTGGTATCCCCAATAATCTTCTATATACACCTATGTCTAAATATATGTTTCAGTCCTCATTTCAACTCCAGCATAAAGTGTAGAATTACATGAATAGACATGTTAGATATATAATAGAGTATATTAATGTTACCTATCCTTGACATACATTATGTCATTATTACTCCTGTTATCAACAATCTATTACTTCAAAAATATCCACCAAATCATTCAATAGACTACCATGAAGATTTCAGTTGTTCTTCTGTTGTTAATAATCTGGATAACAGATGCTAAAAAGGGTATGTACATATTCTAACATTTATTACATTTACATAATAAAATTTCCGGGACCTAATTGTCATTGAACTTATCCCCATCAAACATTTACCTTGAATTCTTACAGATTTAAATTAGCATTCTGTTATATCGTAGGTGGAAATTCGCTAAAATTTATTATAACTGTACACCAAAATCCAGAGAAGATGTCCCTTAACGTTTCTGTACAGTTTAAAGCAAAATAAACTTTTAATGTAAAGAAATATGTCTCCTACTTATTCTGAAGGTTTAAACCACTATCTCAAATATATATTATAATACCATCAATATGGTCAATATTGTTCCTTTTTTTACAAAGTTAAAACCAGAAAAAAAACTTAAATGATTGAATATAAAAAAGAAAGAAATTCTTGTTTAGTTGCACTTTGAAAGTAAATATTGATTTCATAATGTCTATTTCATAGATTATTTCACAAAATCAATAGTTTCTGTCTGTGTAAGAAATTCTATGATCCATAATAATGTGGATCGCGACTTTCTGGAAAGGCCAATCTTTCATTCCACAAGGTTATTATTATTTTACATGGGCATCTACAAGAAATCACAAATCATTCTGTTAAATAAACAGGCATCTAGATATTTAGCAATTGAATATTAGAAGATTGCATTATCAAGTACATGTGGGACAAACAAATTTTCCTCTATTGCAAACAGCAAGTATTTAACTTATTTCTTAAGCTCAACATTACACTTTTTCTGCCTTATTTATAATTAAAATTGGTAAAAGGTATGTGCCGCTTGCCCAACAGCATACAGATGAACAGTCAGTAAAACGCTATCTCTGTTACTTTGTTTGACAATGACAAAAGAATCCGTTACATTCACATAATACATTTAACGTCAAATAATTCTATTCATTAAACCAAAAATTTTAGGGTATTCCCCTAATTCTTCATGTCAGGTATGTTACCTGGTATAGTATTATATATAATTATCTTTCGGGTGATAAGAAGTTCAAGAAGACGCCGTTATTTTATGACTCGAATAAACCTCTGATAAGGGTTTATTTTCTCTTCGCCCTCAAACACATAGTATTCATTTCGGTCAAAGTGATCTTTATAGATAACATGTAGCAATCGTGAAGACTGATTTGCTGAAATACTCGTTTCTGTCATCTTTCAGTCTTTTGTTGAAAACAGAGAAATGATCATTATTAACTACCAACATCCAAGTCTTATCTGTTTCATTAAAATCATCTAAGCAAGAACTTGGGTCATAAGGCAAAGTTTGGTAATAAATTAACTCTTTTGGTTCGATTAAACCAAATATTAATGAGCAGACAACAAAAGAGCCGTTTACATATGCAAGAAATGGTCTTTAACTTATCAAAGATTTTGTATAGTTTTTAATCTGTTGGTTGGTTGATGCTATGTTAAGATTCGCTTACAGCAGAATCTGATATCGCAGACTAATTCTAATCGCAGTGATCAACGCATATGTACATCGTAGATAGTACAAATAGGTAAAGGTCTTAAATGATGAATGATATCGCCTTTTACTCAAGGTTCAAATTACTTCCCTAATTATACATAATCTCTGCGGCCTATTTGTACTGAACACATGACGTCACAATCGCAGATACCAATGAAGCAAAATTGTATTTGCTCAAGTGTTTCTTAAATTAAATACCGGACGCGAAGGCATAAGTGTCCCGGATACAACTCTAACGAACTAAAAAAAAAAACTTTATAATCATTTATTTTCAGATAATTATAAATATACCTTCAGCCAACCTGGAAAGAGTGCTGAGCTCAAATGTCCGGATAATGAAATTATTTTTAATGTAACACTTACCAGTAAAAATACTCAGCATGATTGCTATGGGTTGCAAATAGCAGTTTTAGTTGCAACTTTAAAGTGTTATTGGAAGAATGGTTGCAATATAACTTTAGGAAAGGAAGATATCATATCACAGACACATGGGCCGTCAAACTTGAAGTGTATCGGTAAAAAACCTGATGTCATGCTATATGATTTCTCCTGCATACCAAAGGGTAAGTTCTCACCTAGCAATGAAAGTAGCACCATCAAATTTCGCATATGTCAAATGGAAAAGCGCTCGAAATTAAGTGTGGAATTAAATACAAAAAATTTACTGAATAAATACTGAAATTCTACCCCCCCCCCCCCAAAAAAAAGATCCTTTTTAGATCTTGTAAAAAATTCTTGATATTCAGCACATAACTTCCTGTTTTTTCCCACACTACATAAAGAATTGTTTTTGGTCTTGTTTTTTTTCTTATGATAACAGCAATTAGTAGTAGTAATAAATCTGAAACAACTTTCAATAACAATCTATATTGAAAATTGTTTATTCATGTTTTAGTGATGATTATGTTAAACCACAATTAATTTCTGATTTGATTGCCTCCCCTGTTTGACTGTTAATTGCAACTATATTATAATTGTAATATTTCAGAGACTTTGTCAATCAAATAGCTTCTTCACTGTTCATGAATTATTTAACTTTCCTTGTAATGAATGTAGGAACTCACAATATTCTTAAACAGATCGGAAGCACTGATCTATAGAAACATGCACATGCTGTATGTACTCAATTTCTCTCGTAAATTTCCATATCTCTCACTTTCTATTTGCTTTTCTGGCAGTACCGTCATTACCTTTTATATTAACTTAACAATCGTCCTCGTCCACATGTCTGTCCACTTCAATCGTATATTTGTCCGTCATGTCCATTACTTTTAAAAGAAACTTTTTAACAATTACTAATGGGTGAAGTAAGTATTATGTCAGTGAATTGTCAAGGTTTAGGAGATTCAGGTAAAAGAAGAGATGTTCTGAACTCCCTAAAATCCAAAAACTATAATATTTACTGCCTCCAAGATACTCACTTTGACCGTCTACAAGAAAATTTTATTCAGACCCAATGGGGCTATAACTGTATTTTTCAGTCTTATCGCACCAATGCTAGGGGGGTAGCTATATTTTTCAATAACAATTTTAACTATAAACTACATGATACTTTAACGCTTGAAAACACAATATTGTTAGACATTTCAATCGAGGACACCCATTTAACATTAATCAATCTGTACGGTCCTAATGATGATAACCCAGCATTCTACGACAAATTGTTCCATAATATTGAACATATTGGCAATGAAAATTTTATTATGTGTGGGGATTTTAACCTAGTTTTAAACCCGGAATTAGACAGCAAAAATTATAAACATGTTAATAATCCTAAAGCTCGCGAAAACCTGCTAAAATGGATGGAAACTTATGAGGTAAAAGATAGTTTTAGGGAATTATATCCTTCGCTAATAAGGTACACATGGAGGAAATCAAATCCACAGAAACACGCCAGACTTGACTTTTTTTTAACATCAAATGAGTATCTAAGTATCTTTCAAAACATAAATTTGAAAACAGTTATCGATCAGATTACTCGGGAATTGTATTACAACTAAAATTCAAAAAATTTGTTAAAGGAACGGCATCTGGAAATTAAATAATAGTCTACAAAACAAAATGTCAATATGTCGTACCAGTCTGTAACTTGGAGAACATAGATAAAATACCAAATAATAGGGCCAACACCATTTCTTTCTTGGCTTATAGGAGTAAATGTAGAAAAGAGAAAGAAAAATATATTTCCGACCAAATTAAAATTTTAGAAGACTCAGTAGATGTTTCTGAGTTTGAAAAAATTTAGAAATTGAAACAAGAGCTGGAAGAAATAAGAAACTTTAGGTTAAAGGGACATTTTATCAGGGCTCGCGCTAAATGGATCGAAGAGGGGAAGAAGCCATCTAACTATTTCTGCAGTCTCGAATCTCGAAATTTTGTCAGTAAGCACATCTGTAAATTGGAAAATGACTTAGGTGAAACAATTGACAACCAAGAAGATATTCTAAAAGAAACAAGAAATTTTTATAAAAAACTGTATTCGTGAAGACATTTTTTGAATAGCGATGACGTAACAAACAAATTAAAAAAAACTACCAATTAATACTCTAAGCGAGACGGAAGCAAATGAACTTGAAAAAGAAATATCTCAATCAGAATTGTTAGAATTTTTGAAACTGACTAAAAACAATAAAAGCCCTGGATCAGATGGCTATTCCTTTGAATTTTTAAAAGTCTTTTGGATTGATATAGGACACTTTATATTTAAGGTCCCTATCGCACGGATTTTCGGAAAAACAATTAACTATCACCCAAAGACTTGGAATAATAACATGTATCCCCAAGAAAGATATAGACAAGCGCTTCCTAAAAAACTGGAGACCTATAAGTCTATTGTACATACAAACTAGCTTCTGGATACATTGCCAATCGATTTAAGACAGTTCTAGATAAATTAATTAACAGAGATCAAACCGGGTTTATAAAAGGAAGTTTCTTAGGGGAAAATATAAGACTAATTTATGATATAATGCACTACACCGATTTTCATGATATTCCTGCCCTTTTGTTGTTAATCGATTTCGAAAAAGCTTTCGATTCCATTTCATGGGATTTCATTTTATCTGTGTTAAATATTTTTAAATTTAAATCTTATATGAAAGATTGGATTATTACTTTATGCAACAACTCGAGTTCTTGTGTCCTCCAAAACGGTTTTTTATCTGATTCATTTTATCTTGAACGAGGATGTAGGCAAGGAGATCCATTATCGCCTTATATATTTATTTTATGCGCCGAGATTTTAGCAACTCTTGTTCGAAATTCTAAGGATGTAAAGGGTGTAAATATTGACAATGAGGAGAATAAACTATCCCAATACGCGGACGATACAACTTTTATTTTAGACGGATCACCTGAATCAATAAAAGCCACTTTAACAATACTAGACTTTTTATATCTCTTCCAAACCCTGAGCCAACTCTTATTAATCTCCTCAACACAAAATTTTTCAAATTTATTTGGAACAACAAACCTGAGAAAGTCAGTAGAAAATGTATAAAACAATCTTACAAAAATGGAGGTTTGAATATGGTAGATTTAGATAATTTTATAGTTTTACTTAAAACAACATGGATAAAACATCTCATCCTATCAGAGAGTAAATGGGGCAAATTATTTGAATACAGTACAAGTCTAAAATGCGATTTTATTTCTAGATTTGACTATTCCTATCTCGAAAATTAACTAGACAGTATTAATAATACTTTTTGGAAAAATGTTATCACCTCATGGATCCGAGTAAGGAAAAACATTAGCGCTAAGTGTAAAGCAGACTTAGGGAAAACAGTAATATGGCACAATTCTTCAATTAAACTGCTCAATAAGCCACTATTTTACCCAAGATATTTTAAACACAATATTATTTATATCTCAGATTTGTGGAATGATAGTGGGGGATTTCCCCAATTATAACGATTTTTTAAAACTGTACCCAAGCTTAAAAACAAATTTCCTTGAATATACTACCTTAATTAAAACTATTACGCTATGTACAAACGAAACATTTGAAGAAAAAGAAAATGAACCTCTCGTGCTACTACGTCCTTTTATTCCATTTCACATTCAACTATTGTTCAATCAATGTAAAGGTAGTAGGCATATTTATGATGCTTTAACAGAAAATATTTCGATTAAGTCACAAACCAAATTTGAGGTACTAGAATACAAAGTGAATGATTGGAGCCTAAATTACATTTTACATTTTAATATTACAAAAAATTCGAAAATTAATTGGTTTCAATTACCGCATTTTACCAACAAATACTTTTCTCTACAAAATTAAACTAGTCGAAACTGAATTATGCACCTTTTGTCAAAATAGTCCGGAATCGTTAGAACATCTCTTCTATGATTGTCTATATGTAAAATCCCTATGGGATAAGCTTAAAATTTACCTTTCTGGAACTGTGTTGTCACTAGAAACGATTGTTTTCGGATCTAACTTATTAGGTATACCCTTAAATTGGCTTCTTCTTCATACAAAATTTTTCATTTATCGTTCAAGGATTAATAAAACCAAACCTAACCTAATAGCATTAATAACTATCTCCTAGATAATATCAAAGTAGAACTATATTTATGTAAACACAAAAACGACATGTTTTTAAATGCACAATGGGATAATATTTTAGAAATACTGACAAATTTTGATCATTAACTGAACAGACTCAATTATAAGGAAATGACGGTATGGTACTCTTTCCTTTCATCTTTCCTATACTGTCCACTTGTTTCTGTTTCCATTTCTTTATCTCTCACAAACTCTGTTCAATATATGGCATAGACTATACAACTATATAAAACTATAGATATTGTAAAATTATAATGAATATTAATGTGCTACTTATATTGTATATATTACAGATATCTGTATTGTATATGTTTTGCCAATAAAATTAAAAAAAAAAAAAAAAAAAAACAAAGAAAAACCAGCGAATTCAAAACAGGACTATGTAAGATATAATATTTGAAAATGAATAAGAATTTAGGATCCGATAAGGGCAAGAAATACCTTTGACTTTACCCTAATAATATTTTTATCTTTTGAAAATTTTTATTTCAGACGCCGTAACGAATAGTGTACACCATACCCATGCAGAGGTTAATTCAGCGTATGGTATAATTAAGAGTCATGATATGTATCCATGGAACTACGAACCTAAATCAAATACAAATAGTGTCGGTAGTGCAGTAATTAAAAGACCAAAACGTACTAAGGTATTCTGTTAACGTATACACGACAATCCCCTTCCCCTCCGCTGACCTTTATGATTCCCTGAAACCTTCCTAAATATAAAAGATATATAGAGAACTGGATAAAAAAGGAATTCAAAATTGTTAAAGTTTGTGGGCATTATTAGTAATTTATTGATATGGATAATTGATTCATTAAAAGCTATATTAGATTTCGTAATGTAAATATGTATTGCATGTAATCTGTAGAGCGGAATAACAAGACCAGACAAATTATCGATACGAGTTATCTCCCTTTTAACAAAATATTTTTTTCACTTTAAATCAATTTTTCAATATATATATATATATTATTATAACTTACGAAGGTTTATTTACTTGGATACAATTAAAGGTTGACGATTGATGGTCGGTATAAATATATACAATCAATTTAATATGGCGATTGGTTTCGGATAAAAGTTTAAAAAATGAATTTTTGAATTGATAGCCTATTTAAGTGCCGTGCAATTATAATTATTTCAGATTTTGTACATGAAATATATAAACTATGATGTACATTTTTCCGACATGGTAACTATACCATTTAACACTACTACTGCAGAGCAATGGGATCATGGTTTAAAAGTTATCAAGAATACGAAACTTGTTCATCTTAATTTCACTGTTTACCCTGGAACGAAATTTGGTGGATTCTTGATATGTTATAAGTGTATGTTAATAAGTAGCATTTTAGTTATGATAATTTATAGAAATATATTACGTGATTTTACATTCGTCAAGTTTCGCCAAGCTTACATCGTAGATACTAAATCACAACCTTAGTCGTAGATATTGAATCACAAGCTTAGATCGTAGACACTGATAGTTTGAATTCTAATTGTTAAATGCTGTATAACCCCAATCTTTCATATAGAGTTACCGCTCTTTGCAATAGCTTTCGATGACCGACAAGTCTGAATTGGAGAATGGGATGACTTACGTGCAAAAAGAATACTAGGTGTTGACACGACATACCCTTTTCTTTGCTGTTGATTTGTAAATCATGGGTCAAATAAACAAAATTAGCCATTTGGATACTCCAAAAGGGATCACACCCATCTGTAAAGTGATATCAGACGTCCTTGATCATACCCTGTCCAGCTAGTGACAGACCCAAAAGATCACACTGCAGATCAAATTCAGTAATTTGTAAACATTTACCGTTGTAACTGTATAGAATAAACCGTTTTGACTTTCAAGGGGTACGGTCTACATCAGATAAAGACGAGAAAGATTTTGAAAGTAAACCATGTTACTCTCAAACCGAAAGTACAAAAGGTAAGTCCCAATTACAAAACAAAGTGTTTTCATTCCGTCTTTTTTCTCTGACTAATTCATTAGTTTCTGTTGGAATCAGATACTATTTAAATGACAAATTTGTCTGCCATATGTTAATAATTACATAAATAGAATTGTTCAGGACGATCATGGTATAATTAAAATTAGACCTTACTTCCGTTCGTATTTTATTAGTTTCGTTTCGAATGTTTTATTAGCTGTTAGCTTTGTACGCAACCACTACAGTAAGGTCTAACCCTGTCTTTCTTAACATTTCATTCTGTTAACCTTTACTTGACCTCTGTTTTAACCAATCACGTGGCTGCCCTTTCCAGCCACGGAATAATTCCGAGGCTTATTACACTATCGGACTTGATAAGCTACACTTACATTGATAAAACATTCGAAACGAAACTAATACAATAGGAACGAAAATAAGGTCTAATTTTAATTATACTGCGGCGGCAACCGCTGCTGGATTTCCAAAGAACAAATTATGGCATCACAAGTACTTGTCAGCAAATTGACACCTGAAAACTGAAACGTTAAAAAAAATAGACGAATGGCCACCTCGATATTGGAAAGTGTCGGATACGTGTTGCACTACAGCTAAGAGAAAACTATTCTTTATTATCTTATCTAGGTCCAGATCCAACACATGGAAGTATTACCGGTCCAATTAAACTGACCATAAAGAAACCATGTAAAAGGCGCAAAGGTTGCAAAAAATCTTGGCGAAAATTAAAATATTTAAAGTTTGGAATAATAGAATCAAGCGGAAATGTTCATTTCAAATTCACAACTCGAAGGAAAAAGAAAACTAAAGAATCGAAGGGCTACTTTGATCGTAGTCGTCCATTTTATGTCAAAGCTGGTACACTAAAGAGAATGAAAGAAATTGAAATTGATGTCCCTGACAATACACAAATTTGTTTTGTTTGTAAGTATTATGTACCTAAAAATACAAGAACATCAATTTCAATAGAAAGAAACAACTATATTTTACAAGAATAATCCTTTCTACCAACTGATCCTTAACCAAACCCCTTTGCATTGATTTTACCATTTTTAGATGGGTCCACCGGAATTATGGGTGGAGATGGCTTATTCAAGTTCATCAGACTCTCACACGCCATAGCCATCATTTGTTCTAACTATGTTTTAACTATGGGAACCGTATATTTAAATCCCAAAAATTGTTAAATAGTATTTGTATCTCGTTTTCATTTGACTGTACCAACCTTTCGTGATTCTTGTCAAACCTTTTCATTTCGTGGCATTATTTTATATTTTAGGGGAAGCTACTAAACCTAATGGAAAACCAGTTGATTGTTCCCAAATTGGAAAAGATACGTAGGCAAGATCGAATACGTGATAATATGATATTCGCGACATCAAAACAAGTGGTTCTTCTAGACGTGTTGATATTATATTGATTACTTCATCAAATAACCGCTTATTAACTTTTTTTTCTTTCGATCGATCTTCATTTAAAGGCAATGATTGGGACTGACGTATCGTTTTGGGCCTTAACTTGATAAATATAAATATATCCTTCTGATATTACCTCCATAAATCATATATTCAAAAACGAATTACTGTCCTTTATTCGCCTTTGTCATTGATTGATTACTCTGTCTACAGGTCCATCAAATACCGATTCTTGTTTAATTAGCATTAATGAATTGCCTCTGAGTAATTGCTTAATAAATATCTAAAGGGTGCTGAAATTGAAGAACATTATATTTCCATATAGGCATCGATAAATACGTAAACAAATTCTATAGCAAAATTGAAATGATAATAATGATTTTAGCCTGGCTTGTTTAATTTGTAAATTGCACTACGTTTGTATAATATTGTTTAGTTATTTTAAACTGATTTACCTTGCACTAGACTATCTTATCTAACCACTTTTACTCAGTTATTTCTTTTAATAACATATCTATTTATCCACATAAAATGGTCCGCGGATGCTTATAACAATATGAAATAAGTGCATCCAAAATTTTGACATATTTCTAGAACTTATATAAAAGTAGCAGCGAAGTTTGAATTTTTGTCTAATTAGTTTTTGTTATGAGTAAATTTGGAATTCAAGAGGTAGATTTGGTCTTCGACCAGAGAATAGAGGTACGTTAGTGCTATACTTACAAGTCATAAAAACAACAATTTATTTTCTTGCATGCTAAAATGTTTCATTTCTTCCGCAACACTTATACTTAAGGCGAAGCGGGTCATGTACGTCTTGTCACATGATAAACCAGCGTTTATTTCCCCATAACGATAACAAGATCCACATTCATTCCTTATTTTTACATTGGTTTATCTTTTGTGATAAAATACGCTAAAATGTTCTATTTTGTAATTGTAAAAATACCCGAAACCGTTGTTGATTAATTCACCGATATCTGTCAATCAAGTTCACCGACCCGCCCCTAAAAATATAGTTCTATAAATAGACAGTCTTATTTGGATGATAGAATTATCAAATATTTATTATGCCATTGAAATATTAACAACAATTGTAAATTTAAATAAATTGTAAAATTAGATTAGACTCTAGGTAAAAAAACTTGGGTCAATCCTTGTTTTCGTTTTCGATGTATTCATACGCCTTATTGTCACGTGACAAACTACAGTTATTGGAAAATAAACGCCGGTTTGGCTAACTGTTTTATTGAAGGGAGTGATAGTAGAAATGTAAATATAACCATATGAATAAAAACGCTTTTGGTGTTTAATAGGGGTGCCGGGTTGTTAGTTTTTTTCTTCTATTATGAAGTGATTTGACAAGGGTTAAAGAGGATTTCACTGCAACTACTGCATATCCTAACTATTAACTTTTTATACTTCCCTTCGTTCACATCTAGTATCACATTCACTGAGTAACGCAGCTCAAAATTCAAAGCAGTAATACCACCAAGTCGGAGGCCACGAACAGAAAGTCTGTGAACAATGATAGGCCATAATGTGTGCCATCTTTCTGGGCTCTGTCGTACAATTGAATAAAATTGATCCATTCCGTGATACAAATAAAGATGGCTATAGCACCAAAAAAAAGCTTGAAACTGTGAAGATGTCATGACAATCTGAAATAGAATTAAAGATGGAAGTTGGAATGAAAGTCGATCATTTTATCTAATAAAAATAAAAAGCGAATTGACGTCGTGACTTTATTTTGACAGTGTACAATTCAAGAAAAGACATACAGTTTTTTTTCGCAAACCAGCCCCACTGCATAGCCTACTTGCAACATTCTCTTCGTTGGTCATGCCTTTGGTTGAAAAGATAAACGTAATTAGTTTTTTTTTTTTACTCCATGTAATTGGATTGATCGAAGCTTTTGGGTTTTTAGAACAGAAAGACGCATTCGAGTCAATTTATTATAGACATTATTATATAACATTTATTGTATTTGAATGTTATTTCAATGAACGGTAATAATTGCATATTTGCATTAGACCCCCGTAACCAAGGAACCTTTTAATTGAAGTGGACATAAATTACTGTAGCATGGATTTATTTGTATTATTCTATTTTCTGTTTTTGAAGTAGTTGACATAATGTTTTATCGGAATAACTGATGTTGATGAGGCATCTTTCATGATATATCTTGGATGATGTATGTAGCCAGATATACTGTTTTGTCTCAAGACATTATCTGTTCTTTCCTGTAATCACCACCTTTCTCTAGCCTTAAATGACGAGAAAAGTCAGCTCAATGCAGAGATTGGGTTGGTCTTATCTTTCAGTTTTTCGTCTGAACTATGTTAGAAGTGGTATAGAAAAAGTCTTTTGCCATTTAGTATTTATGTCGATTCTTTGCTGTACAAAGCTACAATGAAGCGATGTGCATGTAGCTTCTGCCTTCAAATGAAACAAAACACGAAAAAATCTCAACAAAATCGTGACAAGTTTGTAAATTGGCAACCACCTTAAGTCCCAACATACGACCTATCACCTAATGATGAACCCTATTGAAAATCAGGCAAATCGAAAAATATTCTAGAAGGTTCTTTACGGATTTTGATGAAACGCGGTGAAATTGTTTATTATTTCCAAATGATGTACACTATAGATATGTAAAAATATCTAAAAAGTATTTAATATGAGTTATTGTCCTTGTTTTTGAAATCGCGGTCAAGACACAATTTTCAGCAAATTTCAACGAACCCTATTAAAAAGCAAAAAAAAAAAATTAAAAATAAAGAAAATGAAAAATAATATAATATGGGTTATCAATAAACGTGATCGATCTTTAGATCTTAAACACCTCAAAAGACAAATCTTGACTGATTTAGACGGAACTTGGTGACATCACCTAAGGATGAAGCCAATCGTAAAAAAGGCTGCTCTTGCAGTATGAAAATATTACTATCGAAATATTTCATTACCTGACAGCTCTTGTCAACATCTCGGATGACTTGGCTGCCATTACAATAATGTGGGCGTATTACGATGGCCATCGTTTTTTTAGTTCTTCATGATCAGTCTTGAACTCCCTCCCGTCACACCAGATGCCATCGTGGAACAACGTTTGCTACTATATTTTCAATAGGGGTTTGAACTGTCAACAACAAACAGTTCCGATTCTTTTCAATCAATAAAGACGAGAAATACTAGAGTTGGTTTTGTCGATCGGTATGCTAGGGAAATGGTAATTTCCTTTACCAACATGTTCAATTCTACCACTTCCTTTCCCCCAGGACGTTATGAGACCATGTAGATGTTATTTTAATTTTAAAATGTCATAACTGTGAAGCTTCATTTAATGCAAAACAGAATCATACTCTGAATTCCTAGGCAATTAAAATCCATATTTAAGGTAAAAAACTTTAAATTAGTTATTAGTGTAGTTATTAATCAAATATCATGTTCAATGTGATGACATTTTATGATCTTACTTCCTCTTAATTAGCCTTATGCCGAATACTATCCATTGCTGTGTTTTAAAATATACATAATAGAAAGACCACAGAAGTAACATGTCTTCAGTGTGATCACAGAACATATTAGTCCATGTTACGTGTAGGCAAACCATAATTGGTTATTTAAGCAAATAGAGAGCAGAAAACAACAATACAAAAAACAATGTCAACACCAGAAACTTTGCAGGCGTACAAATAATTCTCTAATTGAGTATCGATCATTAAATTATTTTTCTTTTTAACTTAAATATTTATGTTCCAGATCATATCGACTTTTGTCACTTTGGAAGCATGGGGATTGTGAATTGTAAAGTAACAATACGAACAAAAGACAGCAAAGTTGATGGTCACCCATGGTAACCACTTCAATATACTGTTAGTGTTAAATATTTGTTAATAGAAGTTTTCCCTCAACCGATCGTTATGCAAGCTATCACGAACACGCGCTTGTAAATGACAACCAATGAGTGTCTTGGTTTCAGGCAAGGTAAACTTTGAATCAATAACCATTCCTATTGTAATGTAAGGCTTTAGAAGTTTACCTGAAGTTAGTTGACAGAAGACTGGAAGACTAGTTTGTGCTTGTCTTGTCAAAAATATTTGGAATCTGTACTTAGTCTTATTCAAAATGTCAGTCCTTTTGTTAGCTCACAGAAAAAAGGCCTGCCAAAAGAAAAAGAAGATATTCAGGTAAGTTTTAACAATTTGAAAATGGTCACAATATGTCAAATATTGACATATCAAAATACAATGACAAGGCGACATATAACTGTTGTGTAATGCATTCCATGTATATCCGTCACCACAGATAAAAGTAACTACCTTTTTTCAGACGAAACACTTCCTTCCATAATTACACCCGAAGCCTTGGACAAACTCATATTTCGTTATCATGCAAAGTGTCCAATCCTTTGCCAGACAGAATGATTTCTTAGGTAGTCAAATCCTCAATTACCGGAAGCGATACATCATAAAATAATTATCAACCAAGTAAAATTGTCTACATTTGATGGTCATGGCACAATTTTTATTGTTCTTCTAATTGTATCTGGTTATGTTTTTTCTTGATGCGTTGCGTCTATATGACTAAGTTTTGCATGAGCTACTTAGAATTTTCGACCTGTTTACTTTTTGCTTTGCTAACCTTGTGAAACTGAACTCAACAACCTAAGGTTTAATTCTTAACGACATATCGGTATAAAATACCGCACATTCTTCTTATATAGTGCAATACTTGGCTCCTTGGTTATCATATAGTTTAAAAGCATAGTGTTATGTACTAATCTAAAAAGAGACTAATGGGTTTCGAAAGAGCCGAGTTAATCAAACCTGGAAATATTAAAACAGAATGATTTATGTGTCAATTGACAATAGTTAGATAGGTGGTTATACTTTAACAATAGTAACTAAGTAACAGAGTAATCCCTTTATACTGCTTCACTTCACAAAACAATTCTGGAAAAGCTTTCTACTATTCCATACAAGTAATCTAATCATCATCAATAAACATGTCTTGTCACCAAGATACAATATTTCTTAAAAATGAAGAACCGGGATTATTGACAGTCTACCAATAAAACACTGTTAACACAGACACTATGCTAAATCACCGTCAACGTCTGATCAAAGAATTATTTAATCCTGTTATGATCACGATGTCATCTTTATACTTCAAATATTATGTTCATTTATTGAAGTTCTTGAAAGCCACGAGAATGACATAGTTCGCGAAACTGAATAACAATCGAGATTGATGGTATGCATCAAATTATCAGCAAAGTTTTATCAGCTTTGGTTAATGAAACATGTGCATGTATATATCGTTCGGATGGAACGAAAACATAGGCAAGTTGGAAATTAGAAAGAAAGTATAATGCCCGTATTTATTAACGGATAATTGTCGGAAATCAAACGACCCCAAAATGTTCTCTTCAAGACGAGATAACTTGCATTAAAAAAGCTCACTAAGAACATATTGACTTTATTGACATCGTTATAGTGTGGAAAATGTCCATGAATCGTACATACAAATAGTTTTTATTTTTGGTAATTTTTTGTCTATAGTTGGTAATTATTTGCTTCTGGTTTTCTTCTAATACAGTATTTGGAGCATTGACAAATGAAGAAATCACAAGAAAAGAATTCGATTTCACATTCCCTGGGTCTGAAAAAATGACTATTTGGTGAAAAACAATTTTGACAAATCTATCGGCCTATAAATGTTTATTAAAACTTGCTCATTGAAATTTCCACCGATAATTGTATCATGTTTTTTGAGGATATTAGTTATTTTCAACGGATTTATTAAATAAAAATTTCTGAACTGTCTTCCTTAAACCTATTACCACAGAATAATGAGACGTAAAATTCTATTTTATTATTTTTAAAAAACGAATAAATATGTTAATTTACTTCAAAACCCTGACATGTCATGATCATTAAAATACCATTAAGACCATTGATCTCCTACTCGATAATTTCTGAAAGAAAACCTCTAAGTGCCTGACTCTGTCGACGAAATTAGCAACATTAGAGACTATTACATTGGGCTGTTAAAAGTGTCATAATCTGTCAGATCAGCATTATCTTGATAAGGTAACAATATAAACCTGATCTTATAAAATTTGAATAGTACACTGTATGCCATAGCTGATTCAACTTAGGCTACGACTTGTACTGCCCATAACAATAAAGCAATTGTTCTCAAGACTGTGATTGTTTTAACCAGGATAAAAATCAATGTTACATCAATATTTTCAGATACTTAAGAGACTCAACTATAATGGTCAAGTGATTGGAGTTTTTGTTGATTTTAACCAATTCTACTAGTCAATGTGCTTAGATTCTTGAAACCTGTCTTATGTGCAATGATTCTTGAGATTTAGCAATGTGCTTAGATTCTTGAGACTTGTAAATATGCTTAGACTCTTGAGATTTAGCAATGTGCTTAGATTCTTGAGATTTATCAATATGCTTAGATTCTTGAGACTTGTAAATATGCTTAGACTCTTGAGATTTAGCAATGTGCTTAGATTCTTGAGATTTATCAATATGCTTAGATTCTTGAGACTTGTAAATATGCTTAGATTCTTGAAACCTGACTTATGTGCAATGATTCTTGAGATTTAGCAATGTGCTTAGATTCTTGAGACTTGTAAATATGCTTAGACTCTTGAGATTTAGCAATGTGCTTAGATTCTTGAGATTTATCAATATGCTTAGATTCTTGAGACTTGTAAATATGCTTAGACTCTTGAGATTTAGCAATGCTTAATGATTCTTGAGACTTGTCAATATGCTTAGACTCTTGAGATTTAGCAATGTGCTTAGATTCTTGAGATTTATCAATATGCTTAGATTCTTGAGACTTGTAAATATGCTTAGACTCTTGAGATTTAGCAATGTGCTTAGATTCTTGAGATTTATCAATATGCTTAGATTCTTGAGACTTGTAAATATGCTTAGACTCTTGAGATTTAGCAATGTGCTTAGATTCTTGAGATTTATCAATATGCTTAGATTCTTGAGACTTGTAAATATGCTTAGACTCTTGAGATTTAGCAATGTGCTTAGATTCTTGAGATTTATCAATGTGCTTAGATTCTTGAGAATTGTCAATATGCTTAGACTCTTGAGATTTAGCAATGTGTAATGATTCTTGAGACTTGTCAATATGCTTAGGTTCTTGAGATTTATCAATGTGCTTTAGATTCTTGAGACTTGTTAATGTGCTTAGATTATTGAGTCTTGTCAATATGCTTAGATTCTTGAGACTTGTCAATATGCTTAGATTCTTGAGACATGTCAATATGCTTGAGACTTGTCAATATGCTTAGATTCTTGAGACTTGTAAATATGCTTAGACTCTTGAGATTTGGCAATGTGCAATGATTCTTGAGATTTATCAATATGCTTAGATTCTTAAGAATTGTCAATATGCTTAGACTCTTGAGATTTAGCAATGTGCTTAGATTCTTGAGATTTATCAATATGCTTAGATTCTTGAGACTTGTAAATATGCTTAGACTCTTGAGATTTAGCAATGTGCTTAGATTTTTGAGATTTATCAATATGCTTAGATTCTTGAGACTTGTAAGTATGCTTAGACTCTTGAGATTTAGCAATGTGCTTAGATTCTTGAGATTTATCAATATGCTTAGATTCTTGAGACTTGTAAATATGCTTAGACTCTTGAGATTTAGCAGTGTGCTTAGATTCTTGAGATTTATCAATATACTTAGATTCTTGAGACTTGTAAATATGCTTAGACTCTTGAGATTTAGCAATGTGCTTAGATTCTTGAGATTTATCAATATGCTTAGATTCTTGAGAATTGTCAATATGCTTAGACTCTTGAGATTTAGCAATGTGTAATGATTCTTGAGACTTGTCAATATGCTTAGGTTCTTGAGATTTATCAATGTGCTTTAGATTCTTGAGACTTGTTAATGTGCTTAAATTATTGAGTCTTGTCAATATGTTTAGATTCTTGAGACTTGTCAATATGCTTAGATTCTTGAGACTTGTCAATATGCTTAGATTCTTGAGACATGTCAATATGCTTGAGACTTGTCAATATGCTTAGATTCTTGAGACTTGTAAATATGCTTAGACTCTTGAGATTTGGCAATGTGCAATGATTCTTGAGACTTGTCAATATGCTTAGATTCTTGAGAATTGTCAATGAGCTTAGATTCTTGAGATTTATCAATGTGCTTAGATTCTTGAGAATTGTCAATATGCTTAGATTCTTGAGATTTATCAACGGCTTAGATTCTTGAGACTTCTCAATATGTTTAGATTCTGGAGACTTGTCAATATGTTTAGATTCTGGAGACTTGTCAATATGTTTAGATTCTGGAGACTTGTCAATATGTTTAGATTCTGGAGACTTGTCAGTGTGCTAAGATTCTGGAGACTTGTAAATATTCTTAGATCATGAAGAGTAATCAATTTACTCTTTGATTCTTGAGTCTTTTTCAATGAACCATGATACTTGAAGACTTAAACAATTTGCTAAGTTTTTGTAGACTTGTCAACGTCGTCATCGCAAATACTTGTCAATCTTAGATTCTTAAGATCTTCAATTGGCTATGAGACATGAAGATTTGTCTTCATAGCCCAGTGCAGTTGAACCTGCAGGTCACCGATGGCAAGAGATTATACGATTACGAATGACACGCAGGTGTTTTGCTAATGTTTTGTGTAGCTGTTTCATTGCAGAATAAGTTCTGATTCTGATGTTTGCGTATCATGTACCTATTTTCTTAGAGTCGTAACTCTAAGACGACCACTAAATGGCCGGTCGTCAGTGGTGATATGGCGATGTTCTAAACGATATATCATTTTTACCCATATTCCTTTAGCACTGCTACCGAGAAACGAGACGTTTCAGCAAATGAGTCCCATGGCACTGTGTTTTGACAAACCACTCTATATAACAATTAGAAATATTTTCTGAGACTGAGATGTAAGGGCAGTTATGTGTGCGTCCACTTGCCCATAATTCAACGTATTCCATAGCCTTTGGAACATATCTTGGAAAATTAAAATTGTACCGGTTCTTTAATGGGCGTGTCCTAAATTTAGAGCAATGCTATGGTAAGTAATGTTCGATCGTTTCTGATTTTCCTCAGTATAGTTACAATCTGTAAATAGAATCCTATTCCGTTTCTTGGATGATGCATGACCGCTAGATTGATTTTATAACATGTAAAATTATTATTAATTTAGATCATGGATATTGAAAAGTATGAAAATCAATAACAGTGAATATCTTTATCAAATCAGATCTAAATACCCCTTTTCATTAGTTCAATCATCATGTGGTGCAGTTCGATATTGAATTATTCAGAATATTTGTTTAGTAAAGTAATAGTTTTTAATTAAACACAAAAATATTTTAGGTTTTTTTTAAATAGGGCGATATATTTTTCTTTTCTTGAGGTTTACTTTATGCAAAAACTAATCAAGAACGACGAGTTTTGACTAATGGTGATGCTATTGCTCTTCCCCTCATACCATATGCATGCCAATCTGGGCTTGATCCACAAGTATGCTACTTTAATTTGTTTTTAGTATTTTGATATGCTCGGTTGGAACAACAAAGTGGGTATTTTGAAGTTTGCTCAAATCCTATAAGGCTAGAAGTATTCTGATTTCACGGTCAAAGGCATAGAGGGTCATCCGACTATCGGCCTCGAAACGTCTACCTCAGACCTCATTGTCTTGGTAAAATGTTTCACGAATAGCTTTAGACCGTCTTCTTCTCACGGATAGAGACCGTATTAAAATTAATACATAAACCTTCAACATATTAAAGGTATCGACCGAAAACTATCTGGAAGAATCTAAAAGGAGGAATTCAAGAATTCGGTAGAGTTTCCGTTTCCGTTCATTACATGAATTTCAATCGAATTGTAGCTCCGTTTAAAATTTGATCACTGAATACACGACACGAGTAATTGTAACTGTGAATGTTAACATATAGATTAATTTGGGATGGTCTGTAGTGTGGTTGTGTTCGACCGTGTTTGACATGCAGCTTCAATGTAAATTAGCAAAGCAGTAGGTTTCTGACAGAAGCTGATATCACAGATATGGTAGTTGGGTAGTTGGTTGTTGGATCAATTGACTGGTTTGGTACTGTTTGTTGGTAGTTGAGAAATCTTTGATAGAGTCGAATGAGTAACTCGATCTTCTTCATTTTTCCAGAACTGGCTTTGATCAGGGTAATTTTTTTTGGAAGGTTGTCTAATTGCAGTCGTTGCCTTATCTTCGTTGGGTGAGATTGTCAGGTATCAATCGGATAAATACCCTTTACCTCCTATGCCATATTCTGTGGAAATGTGAAAATCTTGTGATCGTCATTTTATTTCAGTATACCAAGTTACAAAGATAACAAAATCAATGCCCAGGGGTGTGGATAAAGTAAAATTGTACAACCCCAACCTCTTACTGAAAACATCAAAACATTTATTTGATTTACAGAACATTATTGAAACACTTTAGTAATGTTTTCTATAGTCTCAATAAGAAGGTTTAACTGGCACCTGTTATAGCAATTCGTGTATTTAAAATTCAATTTTTCTATAGAATTCTCTTGCAAGCCGTCTTCATTATACCATCTTATTTTATCTCTATTTTATCCCCCACCCCTTCTTACCCCCTCTCCCATATAATTATCGTCGCAATTATTGATTGAACTAAAAATGTAATCGTAGTTCGTCTTCGGTGCATCATACGGGTTACTAAAAAATAACTTCCTCCATGGGTTCCGTCTAGACATAAAGCAAACCGGTTTTTCGAGGTAGGCCGCCTTTTTATCAGTAGGCAATTTTCAACTAACTCCTGAGGTGGAAATATAATGTCCCATGAGGCTTAATTACACTGCGAATGAACATTTGTAATAGCTCATTACAATTGTGAGGCAACTGAAGGATTTGAATCGATGGCTACTATCTCCTGCACATCTTTGGGACATTATAAGATCATTAGTTCAGTCAAAGGTGTGATAAAGATCGATACAGTAATCGACATGTACCATAATTATGTTTGTACAAGATACTTTATTTAAAATATTTCGTTTATTTCTATGAAATATAAATGAAAACCACATTAAAAGATGCTTCAAACTGTTGTGAAATAATAAGGCTATTGAATACAACAAATATTTTAATATTGAATACTTCCTGATACTAAACGCCACGATGATTTCTTTATGTTTGGTAATGTCAACCATTGTCAGCTTAAATTAGGATAGTGAGGGTTGAATGAAAGAAATCTAATTTTAATTTCAGTCAGATAATTTGCTAAAAGGTGTTCACAAGACATTGACACGTTACTTCAGTAGAACAATTAAATGAATACATAAAAATCCAATAGTTATTATTTTGTAGAATTGATGTAATTACGTCATGTTGAGATAAAGGTTACAATAATTATCAATCCATAGAAAACAATTAAAGTGGTTTTAGCTTGAAGATTTGAAATTCTAATTTACATTAATTATATATATATACATATATCATGATAATAATATTATACCTTATTTAACGTTAAGAATAAAAATCTGTACAAGACTCTTCCGTCAATCAAAAATCTCGTCCGAAGATTGGCAAAATCGGGAGTAAAGGTAGTATAGTAGTGGACTGCTCCAAAGAGATGTACCATCAGGTGTTTCGAAAAGAGTAAGCATGGTCTGTTTGACAGTGACACCCGCCACTACTATAATGATCAAAATCATGAGATACAAGAAGATCAATTCATGCCTGACCAAAGCAATATCTTCTTCGCCGACACGAGGAAGCTTCGAGTTATCACACTTGTTGGTAGGTCCATCCGTCATTGAACACTCCAAGTTTTCTAAACGGATTTAGGCGAAATTGGTGTAATTTAAAATTATGATGCACGATCCCTATCGTAAATCAAATCATTGACATAATTCTATCATTTAATTAAGCATAGTTGTTGTTCGTCTAAAAGTGTTGTCGCCTGGCATGCTTCTTCGTTCTAACTCACCCCTACTCTGATTCTGCATTTGTGAGCAAAAGTATAAAAAACGTTTCGCGCATTATAAATATGATAATTAAATAATTATTATTATAAGATATCTAATTTGGTCATATTTGTGTAGATGAGACTAAACTTGTTACTCATTGGAACAAATGAAAATGTAATTGGGTCACATGATCGAGAGACAGCTCTACTTTGATTTATAGATTTAATTATATTATGTGAATGTACGTTGATTTTAACATGTAATGGAGTTTATAATTATGTAATTGTATTGAACGTAACAGGAACAAATACAAAGCTCAACATCAATTACATGGTATTGGTTTATGACATGGAATGACAACCTGAAGTCCCCTGTGTTGAACATGTCAAAGGCACTTATTATCGATTCGTAATACAATGACCTCAGCTTCATCCCATATATTACTTTTACTAATTCCATATAAATGCGCAATATTGAAAATTGAAGATTGCATAATGATACGAAAGTATTAGAAAAAAATAACTCGACATTCAAAACTGTAATGTAAAGTTACAGTGTTAGAGACAGATTGATTTTTTTGTCATTCTGGTCGAACTAGTTGAAGACTTGTCTTAGATCTTCTACATGAATGTCTACATTGTTCTCTATTTCCTTTGTTTTCACCTTTAAACATAAAAGAAACCAAGTATTGATTCCTATTCTTATGTTGCTTTAAGACGTTACATTAACAGATAGTAAATATTATCAGCCCCTTTCTTTCTTGGGATATCAAAATATGCACATGCTCAATAAGTTCGTGATCGGCATCATATTTTCTCAATTAATATTTTCCTTATAAATACATGTATTCCGCTTGGCTTATTGTATTTTTTTGAAACGATAATATTATATAAAGAAGAGTATCCTTCAAAGCAATGTTGACAAAACCACACGTTAATTCAAAGATTTCAACCACAGATTATGAAAATGAAACGGCAAATTAATGTTATGGGGATATGCAATGTAGAAATCAATTCTCATGTCGATCACAGATACGAAAGGACTGCAAAGCCATTTCGAAAAATTTATCCTGGAATAACATTTCAAGTTCGACGTCACACAGATTTCGTACATGTGAATGAAGATTCTATCTTGTTTGTTGACTTCATGTTTACAACTTGTGTAGGTGTCTATTAGACCAATAATAATCACTCTATGTGCTTTAAGTTTAATGAAGATGAGAAAAGTCTTATTATTTTGGAGTCGGTAAATTGGGTTTTGTGTTAGGATGATGAAAATATTTATTATTGATATGTGTTGCTAAGCAGTGAGAACGCTTCCTAGTATTATTCTGGTAGTAATGTTTGATATAAGACACTTTATCTTACACAATTTTATCTTCGATTGTGTTCAATAGATAATATTTGAGGGAAAACCGTGATGCCAGAATTACATTAATTGAC